TTCCAGCCTCGGGATGCTTTCCAGCAGCTGCGATTCGCTGAGAGCTTTTCCCGGGGCCCGACTCATCCCGAACGGCCGCCGGGGACCCGAGAGCCGTGGCCCGAACGCATTCGACGCCCCACGAGTCGTGAAAGTCACGACGAAGGATCTTTCGGTACCGAAAGAATGGGTACAATGCCCAACAGCAGTTCCTGTTCATTCTGAACAGGCATCGCTGTCCGCGCCGCCGCGGCCTGTGTCCATTCGAGACAGGAGGCCGCCCGCCCAACAGCGGCCGCTGTTGGTTTGGGACAACATTTGCTGTTGGGCATAGTACCAATTTTTTCGGTACCCATTTCAGGCGTCCAAATTGGGGAGCGCCCCCGTGACCAGGACACGTTCCTTTCGGGACCCGGTCTCCCGGGTTCATGGCACACGCAGGAGTGACCGGGCGGCGAACGAGGGAGGGAGGTGAGCAGGAGAAGGCCTGGCCAGAAGGCGGCCGGACTTCTCGGAGGGCACCGCGCCCTCTGAGAAGCTGTCGGAGCCTTCGGGGCAGGCCTCGGAAACTTCTCAGAAGGCAGGGGGACCTCCGAGCCTTCTGAGAAGGCTTAAAGTCGGGCACGTCCCTCTACAGGGGGAGCATTCACAAAGAGCAGCTGCAGCAAGTCTGTCGTCATTGTTCCTGCTGCTTCGTTTGGATTATCGCGGGGGTGTGGCTTCTCTTTTTCGCCCAGGAGCCGCCTGCGGGGGAGCGTGCCCGACCTGCGAGAGCGCCGCCTCTCCTCCTCGCTGCGCCCCCCGCGCCCCCCGGGGCTCGCCGCCGAGTGGCCCCTCGCCGGGGTGGGCGCCTCTCTGTGCGCGGCCCGCGGCGGGGGCGCGCTCCGCACGCGGGTCTCGTTCGGAGGCCCGGGGCCCGGGGCCCGGGGCGCCGATGCGGGGACGCCGCCGAGGGGAGAGAGCGAGAGGACGAGTCGGAGGCTGGTAGACCTCCTACCCCTGACACGTTGATTCAGGAATTGGCCGTTTTTCGGTTCGCGAGAGGGCGTCGCGGCCGTCATTTTTGCGGGTCCGGGTCCGTCGGTTTCCGTCCCAGGCCGTTTTCGCTAGAGGGAGGTTTACGAAAGGGAGGTTTGTCCACCGCCGAACGAGGGGAGGGAGCGAGGTTGTCGGAGGTGCGGGGTCCAGGAGAGAGCAAAGGGTGCGCCGGTGCGGCCCGATGTGGAGCCCGATGTGCTCAACGTCGACGTCGCCGATGCGTCGCCGACATCGACGGTGCGTCGCCAGTCAATCGCCGATGCATCGCGGATGCATCGCCGATGCATCGGCGATCTGGGGCGATCCTCCGACCCCACGCACTCGGACCCCATCTGGGAGGCCTCGAATCCGCGATGCAGCTTTTTTTGTTTCGGCTCGTGTCGCGCGTGCCGCGCGAGGCGAGGCTGCTCGACGGCGGCGGCGTGCCTGCGTCAGCGCGCCGGGGCCAGGTCGCACAGCCAGCTTTTTCTCCGCTTGCGCGGGGTTCGTCGGCGTGGCACAGTACCGCGGCTGTCCCGTGGGTTGTCCCGTCGTGGGCCCGTGGGTTGTCATGTGGGTGGTTGTCTTGCGGGGTGTCCTGCGTTTGTCCCGTGGGCCAGCTCGTGGAAAGTACCATTCGCAACGACAGACGGAATTCGCATCGAGGTGCAAGTCAAGTTGCAGTTGAAATGGGAACCATCATCTGATTGTCAATGTAAGTCGAATTGCAGTCGGCATGCAAGTCGAAATGAACTCTGGGATGCAAATGGGAATGCAAATCGAACCGCAAATCGAATTGCAAATCGAGATGCAGATCAATATGAACATCTGACTGCCAAACGGCATTAACTTCGAGATGCAAATCCAAGCGCAGTCGAAATGAATACAAGGTTCAACACATAATGCAAATGCAACTACAATCCAAGTGTAAGTGTACGTGCACAGCTACGCACATCGAGCTGCAAGTCCGATTGCAGTCGACATGAATTACCATATTACCATGTCCAAAGTTAACTCAGGTTGCAATCGAATTGCACGTCGACTTGAAAAGTGGAATGAACGCAAATGGGAATGTAGTTACGAGTGCACATCGGAACGAACGTCTAAAATAACATTGTGGTATACATGCCTGTCGAAATCCTACTCGGAATGCACATCGAAATGCAACACACATGCAAATCAAAACCCAACCCCAGGTGCAATCGAAAGGAAGGTCGAAATGCAATTCCAACTGTAGTCGACATGCAAGCTCCTCAGCGCCCGCCAACCTCCTTATCACCCGAATAGTGGTCGTATGAGTGCCGTACGCGTGTAGCGCAGGCTGGTTGAACGCCGCCAGAGGCCTAGAATCAGCCGACGTCGATTTCGGAGGGTCGCAGAGGGAGGGTTATCCCAAGGTGGGGCTGGGGAGCGGGCCCAGCTGGATGTTCCCGTTTAGCGCGTTTCTTTTTGCCCAGTGGCCGTTCGGAGCGATCTTCCCTCCAGCCCCACCTTTGCCCCTGCCCCACCTTCGTGCCCCCCCCGACGATGGACGATCCTAGGTATCGGGAAGTCGCGAGAGTGCGAGGCTGAATGACCCGCGCGGCGCCAGCAACCAGCCCCGACGTCATCGCGACGTGTAGGCCCGTCGCACACCGATCTCGGCCAGGTCGATCCTGAGCCCAGGATCTTCGGGAGGGGAGAACACGCAGACAGTCGACTGTCGGTTGCCAGAAGGATAGGGAAAACTATTGCAAGCGGGGGGGGGGGGAAGACGAAATTTCAGAACATAGTGGAAGATATGGGAATCCTGGGGCCTGCGTGCGTAGTCATTTGTATTTTTGGGGTTCTCCCCTCGCAAGTGCATCCCGGCGTTGGCTTTTGGCCCGCTGGCAATTATCTCGCTTGGCCCCTCAAGCTTGCTCTCTCTGGCGCATGTGCACTCCGGCGTCGGCTGTTGGCCCGCTGGCAATTATCTTGCGTGCTGCCCCATGCTCGATACGACCCGCTCTCTGGAATCGTCCTTGGAGCCGCAGATCAAAAAAGTGTAGTCCTCTGTGTGCTCCCGGGCCCCTTCAGATCCGTGCACGTGCCTCCAAGGCCACGCCGGGCGGACGTGCGCCGCAGCCGCGGCGCGCAGCAACGGGTGGCGCGCGGGGAACGGCCGCCCACGGTGCCCTGGAGGGCGCCCGAGAGAGCAGGGAGCACTCTGCCCAGACCTCCCGTGTTTGGGGCGCGCCTGTCGCCGCAGCCGCCGGGCAGCACGCGGTGAAGTTGGTGGACTTGTCGGTGCCGCTGTCGACGTTGCTGTGGGCGTGCCCCGTTGGTGTTCGTATAGAAATGGTGCCATTGGTACGGTTCTGCAGCTGGTTTTGGAACATCTTGTGATAACTCACGCTGCTCTCGCCGGTGGCCGCGCACCAGTTGATATCGCCGCACCTCGAGGCATGAGAAACACGGCGCGAGGCTTTGTGCGATCTTCGGCCTCTGGGGGCCCTTACCGGGCCGCGGGACCGTCAGAAACGACTCGGGGTGGAGAGCCGGTCCAGGGAGCTGGGTCGAACCCCCCAGGGGTCGACGTCATGAAAGAATCATTACCTCGGGGGTCTGGGTTAGGAACCCTCCCGTCTTCGAAGGAACACTCGGGCCATTGAATGGCCAGAATGATTCTGCCTCTCGAGCGCCACCCCCCCTGTGCTTGTGGAAGCCGATGCGTGGAGAGGAAGCATGCTGCCAAATAATTTCCAGATGTCTAACGACTGGTTCACACATGTTCTAAATATGTACAACTATTGTTTGAAACCCATGTCTACACATTTTGAAACACATGTTTAATTCAATGGTCGGATTGTTAGAGTGTTCACTGTCATGTCATCCACAACCGTGTGTCTGTGGCTGCACAGATGGTCGGTGCCTTCCTGCCGCAATTTCAGCGAGGAGGGGAGGGAGAGGAGGCCAGGCCAGGCATCCTGCCGCTCGGGAGCAATCGGAGCGGCCCAGCGTTCACCGTTCCAGTGTGTTGTTCCATCTTGCCTAGCATGCCTCAGCTCATGATTCGCTCGTCTGTTTCACGTCTTGCCGATGCGCCGTCTGGGCGCGGCACCCTGCGTGGGTGCGTGGTGCTTTGCAGGCCGGTTTCGGGCTGCGGGGCCATCAGGAAACCGAACCGGCATGACGCCTTTGTCTCCAGAAATCGGTTGCACGTCGGAATGACCCTTCGCCGGGGAGTGACTTTTTTGTGCGCGGCTTCTGGGGGGTTCGGACGACCAAAGCATGCAGCGATCGACAAGCCGCGCACCGAAAGTTATTCTTGCCTCGGATCAGTCACTCTTGCGTGTAGTTGCAGAAAGGGGTGGAGAGGTCCAGGGCCCATGTCTCGAACAAGGGCAAGCCACAGGATGTATGGGATAGGGAAGGCTCGAGGGACGGTTTGGGTTTTTTTGGTGGTGGAGGCCTCCAGGGTCTTCACATTCATCTCATCGTTTCTCGCGCCTTCTCTCTTCTCATTCATCTCTCCCCGTTGAATGCAATGCTGTGTGACTATTGAGTTGATCCAGATGCTTGTTCCTCGGCCTTGGTGTACTCTGCTGGATTGAGCGACTCATAGTTTGGAAGCTGGCTCTCTGCATGCTTCCTTAATTACGCTCATTGGCCTAAACCATCAGACGTGTGCACGCACGTACATGTAGGTGCGGTTGGTAGTGATGGATGGTTTAGAAGCATCATGCCTCGAGGAGGCGCCACCTTAAGGCTTCCTAGTCATTTTTCTGGTGACTTGCAGGGTGTGTCTCTCGTCAGTAGACCAGACGCGACGGGGGGTAACGAGAAGGCGAATGAGGAGGGAGAAAGAGTGGTTCGCATTTGGGAATTCGGACGCCTTCGGATTACACACAATGGAGCACGAGCGTCATGTTTGAAACGTCAGGCCTCCGTAGCCTCTGGACGTCTCAAACAAACTTCCAAGCACACGGATCGTCTTCCTCCTATTTGTTGTGTTGGATCTCAATCCGACGCATGGCTCCGAGGTTCTCTCACATGGGGACTTGGAAGTCTGGCACCAGAGTCAATTACAAGAGCGTCAAGTCTTGCGTGAAGGCGTGCGCCAAGGATTGGCATTTGTATTTAGCCGCAGATATTCTGCGCCACGCCACCGCGAGACGATGGATGAGGGAGGAGGAGGAGGGGGATTAGTTGTAGGAGGAGGAGGAGGAGGAGGAGGAGGAGGAGGAGGAGGAGGAGGAAGAGGGGGGGGGGGGGGAGGAGGAGGAGGAGGAGGAGGAGGAGGAGGAGGAGAGGAGAGGAGGAGGAGGAGGAGGGAGGCTTGATTGCTTGCTTGCTCACGGCTGTGGAACGACGAATCGAATGATCACTACCGCCCTCGATGAATTACAACATTTACAGCGCCTGCGAACAGGTGGGCGAGGGACCGAACGGGCCAGGAGAGACCGAGCGAGGGGACCGACACAGACGAGGGAGGACGAACGGCAGGCCGAGGGTCGCGACCGACGGCGAGCGAGGAAGGAGGCGACGAGGAGCGGGTCAAAACTATTGCTGCGCCCGCCGTCCGTACCTTAGTGTGACTCTTTCACCAGGTGCGTGGGGCCGAGGAGGAGGACGAGGAGGAGGAGGAGGAGGAGGAGGAGGAAGAGAAGGAGGAGGAGGAGGAGGAGGAAGGGGAGGACGAGGAGGAGGAAGAGGAGGAGGACGAGGAGGAGGAGGAGGAGGAGGAGGAAGACCTGCAGAAGCAGGAGGTCCCCGAGGAGGAGGAGGAGGAGGAGGAGGAAGAAGAAGAGCCTTCCTTCCCACGGCTGGTCTGCAAAGAGGAGGAGGAGCAGCAGGGAGCTGAGAGTCCGGCACCAGGGCCAGTCTCAAGACCGCCAGGACACAGAGACCTCTCAGAAGCTGTCTCATGAGCCCCCCAGGCTTTCCCGACCCCCCCCCTTTTAAGAAAGCCAGCGCCCTCGTGGCACCCCCGTGTGGGTGCCGCCATGGGAAAGCGAGGCAGGGAGGGAAGTAGAGGAAGGACCAGGAGATCTGGAAGTCTGACAGACGGCTCGGTCTGGAGAAGTACCCAGCTGCTTGGTGTTGTGCTGGCATGGCCAGTATGCACACACACACACACATACAAACGCGCACACCGATGTAGCGGGGCGCTCAGACAGCGGCCTGGTTCATGGACACTCTGACCAGGGTCCATTTCGATCCGATAGATCCGAGTCGCTGTCGATTCTGGCCTCGTTGCGGTGTTGGTGTTCCGACGATCCGATGCGGCCCGATGTTCTCGTGGCGTCCTTGTGCACCCTTGCGCGGCCGGCCCGGTTCGATTCCGACAACTTGTCGCTGCAGACTTGTCCGACGCACATGCCGACCCGATCCGATCTCCCGATTCGATGCAGATTGATCTTGCCCCAGGGTTGGGGAATCCTCGCATCCATGATTCCGGCCCAGTGTGTCACTGCCGCGTTCTGTGCCACCGATGGCGCGCCGCCCGTGCCGGCCCCTCTTGTGGACAGGCTCTCGCCGGCGCTGGCACCCGTTCTGGGGGCCGTCGATCGTGTGGGGTTTTGCCAGCTCCTGCAGGATCGGTCCTGCGTCGCCTTCACCAGGCGCCGCACCAGGGAGGGGAAGCCCGAGTGCCTGCACTTCAAGGTTGCGGCCAACGGGCACGGTCCCAGGCGTGCCTGTGGAGCAGGAGGAGCAGGACCAAGACTTGGAGGGGAGGGAGAGGGAGGAGCGAGGAGGGGGAGGGAGGAAGGGAGGGAGAACAGAGGAGGGAAGAGGGAGAAAGACGGGGAGGCCGACGGGGAGCGAGAGCGAGAGGGGAAGGGGAACAGGAAGAGGCGGGGGAGGATAAACTCGTTGCCTTCGCTTCCCCTGCCTCTCTGTAGAGCTTACCTACGCGTGCCGCAGCACGCATTTGAGTCAAGACAATTGTGAGGACATGACACACCTGGCAGTTTTAGCGGAAGCGGCTGCGCGCCTCTCTCTTGTAGCGCGCGCGTGTAAGTTAACGGAGCACTGCAGTTATGCCAGACGACATCGTCAAGGGCCCATACATCTACAACATCCATACGAAGGACCCCCCGGAGCTCGGAAGCAGAAGCGGAAGCGGAAGCGGAAGACCGTCATCGACGGGAGGCGGCCCCGTGGCGGGCGACGGGCTCGTTGGGCGTGCAGGCTCTCTCAGAAGACCGACGGCATGGAATAGCAATCAAACGCATCGGTGAAACAGTGCAGCGCGCTTGATGCTCAGAGACACGAGATTTACTTCCAGCCGAACTCAAAGTCTTGCCGCCCAAGTGACGCCCAATGGTCAACAGTTGGCATGCGTTGGCATGCACTGGCATGCGTTGGCATGTATTGGCACGCGTTGGCATATTTTGGCATGCGTTGGCATGCATTGGCATGAATTGGCATGCGTTGGCATGCGTTGGCATGCGATGGCATTCGATGGCATGCGATGGCATGCATTGGCAGCCCTCCCCGCGTGCTACCCCTAACCTGGGCAGCCAATTCGTTCTTGTGGTGGCTACTAGCCAGGGCGAGCCCTCGCTAGCAGCCCCTACAGGCTGCGAGTTGGGGTGCAACCCAAGCAAACCTGACTGGCAGTTTGGTCAGTGATCCTCCTCCTCCTCCTCCTCCTCCTCCTCCTCCTCTTCCTCGCTCCTCCTCGCTCCTCCTGGCTCCTCCTCGCTCCTCCTCCTCCTCCTCATCCTCCTCCCGCCCGACCGCCCGCCCTCCCTCCCTCCGTCCATCCTTCCGTCCTCCTCCTCCTCCTCCTCCTCCTCCTCCTCTTCCTCCCCTTCCTCCTCATCCTCATCGCTCCTCCTCCTCCTCCTCCTCTTCCTCCTCCTCCCAGCCGTTCTGGCACAGGCGGTGGCCCTGTGTTTGCAGCAGCATACACATTCAGAACGGCCAGACGTTGTTGCGAGCCTTTGGTTTCCCATATAATTTCAGTTTGAGGGACTTCAACCCTCACCATCTTGGAGGGTGTTACACCACGATTTCTTTCCTCATATTGTCGGCGCCATGGCTCCTGTTCATTGAGGCGGTGCTGCTACACCGCCCTGGCGTCAGAGGCGATGGGGTGGCTCGTACCGCCTTCACTCAGCGGGCCAAAGAGGAGGGACAGTCCCAGAGAACTGGAGCGACGGATGGTACACAATCGCCAACCGCAGAGGAGACATCCCATGCAATCATTACGTCTGCAGAAATAATCCCAAGGGCGCCTTGCACTGCAAGCACTGCGGTGCACGCTTGGGAACACATCCGCCAGAGTCTGATCTCGGTGGCGGGCTGCCGTCCAAGAGTGATTCGGGCACGAAGGGGAAAGGCGGCAAGAAGGGTGGCGATGTCAAAGGGGGAGGAGGCGGCATGAAACCAGGCCAGTTTGGCCCAGGCCTTCCACTTATACCACCTGCCCCACCCCCCCATCGATCGCTCCCGACAAGGCCCAGGCATTGCAGCGTTTGGCACACGAAGCAGGGGATGAGGAGGGCGCCCGTCGTTACACCGCGCTTGCTGCGAGACCCCCTGACGGATCAGCGACCAACGCCCGCCAGTGCCTCGCCCAGGCCGAGAAGAAGCATCATCAGCTGGAGAAGGAGCTCAACTACGAGTATGACAAGCTCCGGAGGTAACGAAATGACGTCGGTGACCTCACTGCCAAGGTCAAACACGTGGAGAATGAGCTGCGCTGCCGACAATGATGTGCGGGACGCCTTCGAAGAGATCCAGAAGCTCCACGGAGGACGACCAGAACCAGTCAAGCCGAAAGTCAGTCTGCGCCACCTGGTGGAGGGCAAATCGGATTCGGGTTCGTATCACTATTCGTGAAGAGTTCATCCTGGATCTGGATCGGATCAAGGAGTCCTACGACATCGACGACAATGATATCAAGGAGTTGGAGAGGAGAAAGGCTGAGGTGGTTTCCCAGATGCAGGCTGTGCCCAAGAACCTGTTCAAGGAGGCCATGTGCAAAGCTGACGGTCAACGAGAGGAACGCGATAAGCACATGGAGCGCCCCGACGGGAAGAAGCGCAGATCGGAGCCTGTCTCAACCCCTGATGGAGGCAAAGGGCCCAGTGGATCCTCAGGAGCGGCAGCGCCCGATGACCAGGCCACGGTCGCCGCGCAGGCAGTTCCAGCTCCTTCAGGGGATAGCCAACCATCCCAGCCTCCTCCTCGCCAGCAAGACATACGGACCAGAGTTGCTGGGGATGCGAATGTGCAGAGCTGCCTGCAGCCTCTTCGACAAGTATCGAGATGGGCATAGTGGGCAGCCCAGTTCAGGCAATGATGACGGCTTCTCTTCCACATTGACGGTTCGCTCAAGCATCGGGTCTGCTGGACTACGCGTCGGGATGACTGGCCGCGGCGATTCCTGGGGAGATACCAGCGGCCGTCCATCTACATTGGCTACGCACCTACGCACCCGACGACTGGGCCCTTCAGTGTTCTCCCAGGGAAGGCTGAGACTGCCCCGCGGCGCGCGTCCTGCGCCGACCCGTGGAAGCTTGCAGAAGGCTGAGACTGCCATCGGTTCAGTGACCCCGTGCGGCAGAATCGCCGGTGGGGCGGGTGCGCCGGCGCCTGGGCCTTCTTGGGTGGCGGCGCGCACGAGCTACGCAGACGGCGCTTCAGCTTCGTTTACAGAGGTGCGCGGCCAAGTGGACTGCTCCGCCGGTGCAATTGCCGCGCCCACTCACGGCGGGATGAGGTTCGCATGCTTCATCGATCTGCCCCAAGCTTCGAAGCCCAATGGGCAAGCAGTTGTTGGCTCTATCCATCCTGGCGCTGAGGGGGGCGGGTCATCCACGTGCGAAGTCTTTCAACTTGGGGGCCTGCTGCGCGAGGTGTTGTCGAGAGGCGGAAGGGGGCTCAGCGATGTTGATGGGGGCTCAGCGATCTGCGCGCCGTCACGCCCCACGTCCTCGACGCGGAAGCCTGGCGGAGTCGTTGTTGGCTCACGCAGCAGCCGCACTTCTACCTCGTGTCGGCACCTGGCTTCGAACAAAGCACAGCGGGTCGGCATGGGGGACATGGCCAAAACGAAGGGGGACCTGGATTTCTTTGATTTCGCCCCCATCGTCTGGCAAATCAATGGCACTACCATATGTTCGGTGGCAGTATACTTGGCGACTTCAATTGGGCTCAGGGGAGCCAATCTCCAGAATCTAGCTCGCAGTTACATTCCCCTGGGCTACATTGGGAGATTGGAATGTGGCGCCCGCGAAACTAATGGAGTCGGGCTGGCCCACCACGATTGGCGGAGCCCCTGCCCCCCCCCTCCCCACTTATGCCCATTATGCATGTGCGCTGGGCTCAGGCACCTTGATAGATTATGGCGTTGTTTCCCCGCGCGCGAGGCAGATGATTTCATCTATTACTCCGGATGCCAATGTTAGCGCGGCCAGGAACGCAGCGACGGTCAGGGCGCGCTACGGGCTCGTCATCAAGATCAATGCAATGGCTGAATTGGCCTTGGCGCTCTCGCACCCCCTGCCCGCCATTTTCACTCATCAGCCGCTGCCGCACAGGGTGCCCGACCCTGCCAGCAGGAGGTCCACGGCCAACAAAGGCACTAGCGAGGCGAAGCTCTGCATCAGGCCAAGAAGAAAGCGGGGGCCACCTACAGACCGCAAGCCCCAGGCCCGCCCCCTTCCGCGCTTGGTCTTCGCTGACTCAGAAGAAGAACCTTCGGCCGGCGAAGAGGAGGGGGAGAGCCCCCCGGCACTGGGCCCTGACCCAGAGCTCTGCGATACTCAGGCCCAGCTTCCTGAAACACATCAGAATGACCAAGCTGGAGCACCCTTGTTTTCGCGGGGCAACGATCCGCGGCACTCTTGGGCACCGGGCTGGGCGCAGGTGCAACCTTCGACATTTATCAAGGAATCCTCGGCTTCCGAGGTCGATCCCAAGGCCGTCGCCGACTCAGGGGATCAGCGCGCCAAGTGGGCCACCAACCTCGAAGAGTTCAACTCCCAGGGCCACGGCGCCCCATTGGAAAAGAGTCGGTCTCACAGAGGACGCGCCAGGGCGAGACCTTTTCGCGCCGCGCCCATCAAGGTGGCCGAGGATGTCTAGATACAGGCCGACTCAGCAGCCAAATGGTGCACAAAATTTGTTTCCCATTTTCAGGAGCTGCTACGAGCGGATGCAGATGGGGGGATGGGGCGGTTGGTAGTTGCGCGCGTTAGAGGGATGATTGCCATTATACTTACATCTGCTGCTCTCCCCCTCTCAGCCTCTTCTCCGCGAACATGGAGCGGCATCCTGCGCAAAATGCAAGATTGCGATCTCGCGCAGAGGAAGAGGCCCCTGCAAACTGTCGAAAATGATACCAGGGAAAAACACCAATCAGGGCTAGAGGTCTAGGGGCTATAGGGCGATTGCTCAATAGAGGTATAGGGCTATAGATCTGTAGGGCTTCTGGGCAAGTGGGCTATAGGGTTTCAGAGCTTAGGGTTATAGGGCTATGTGGCACCCCCGGGCACGCCCGGGCCCCCGGGCACCCCCGGCCACCGCCGGGCACCTGGGCCCCGGGCACCCCCGGGCACCCGGGCACGTGGGCGCGCAGCGACAATCGGCGACAAACCGAATCAAATCATATGAATCCGCTTGGACCCCTACAGAGGCAAGCTCTGATTGGAGAACAACGCAGCACGCGCGGAGCGTTTCTCAGCAACGGCAGCGCGAAGAGGTTTTGATTCATGGATTATTTCGATGTCGTCGGCTTCGCCTGGCACGCTGCATAGTTTTATCAGACATCCCGCAGTCGCCATCAACGAGATCGCTGCAGCGCAGAATGCGATCACCAGTCCGCTAGAAATCATGAAGAATGGAATGGTTGCTGCAGCAATGTGCCAGTTCGCGATTTGCCCCAGCCAGAGTTGTCGACGCCTACCACCGCGCACAGAGCAAGGCAAAAGACACCGACCTAGAGCCCATCACGATGGAATTTCTCTGGAGGACCCTTAAGAGCATTTATCTGGAGAGAACTAGATGTTGCGAAGCTCTCAGCATCAACGATCTACGCCGGCTTTCTGATGATGGGCTCCAGGTTCTCATTTACTTGTACCATCAAGTGGAGTAGCGAGTTTCATGGCCTCGGCAGCTTCTGACGGTCTGTCTCAGTCTTTTGCTGAAGTCGACGGACGACGATCGCCATTGGCATCGCGGCTCTGTTGGTTCGCGTTTGGGGGGCAATCCGCAGTCCGCCGAGCAGCGAACGGCGCGAGAAGGCGGCAGGCCTTTGGGGCGGAGTAATTGCAGCCCCCCACCCCGCCCCACCCCCACTTCACGCGCAGTTCTCAATCGGAAGTTCGGGGGGCGAGGCGGCGAAGGCTTCGCCGCTCAAGGATATCCTTCACATGGAAGTCTTTTGGGACCTCAAGGCTTATAACGATTCCCTGGACTGGCTGTGCCTCATGGACACAGCGAGCGATGTGAACTTTCCCCCGCGCACCCTTGCCCTCGCCACGCGGCCTCGTTTCGCCCCCCCCCCCCCCCCCGCGCCCGGGGAATTTCTCGCGCCCCATTCAGCCGCAGCGTGCAATGGCGGCGGGCTTGCGTTCTGCAGTGGATCTGTTCAAGATGTATTATGTTTCGCGCGCCCACTGGAGAGAATGCGCAGTTCCTCCAAATCGGCCACGCTCAAGTCATGGGTGGATGATTTGAATGCGAGAATAGTTGCACCAGAGAAGTTTGCAGTCAAGCAGTGCGTTGCTGTTTCTAGATTGCTATCGGAATCGCGCAAGAAGCTGGACCTCACCATCTCGCCCGAGCCCGTCGTCCTCAGTTCCAGCAAGGCGGCGGGTTTTCTGCTAGAGTCCAAGCTAAGGGCTCTCGGCCCCAAGGCCCCACTCAAAGGAGGCGGCCGCGGATCTCGGCGTCGATCAAGGGCGCGCTCGTGGAGGCGAGGCTCGGCGCATAAGAGAGTTTAAACGGCGCGGCCCAGGCGCGCCAAGATTGCCAATGCTGCCGGGAGAAGCTTAGCCCACAAGGGGATTGCTTTGCGTTTGGCGATCTCAGCTGCCATGCCGTGTGCTTCCTACGCTGGCAAAGTTCACGGTGCTCCACGTACAGGGCTGCTGCAGTGGCGGCGTGCATTGGGCGGTTTCCTGAAACGCACCGATACGCAGAGGTCGCTGACCACTCAGTCTCAGTTGGACATTGGGCGCGGGGATCCAGCCACCACGACGACAACGGACGTCATCAATTCGCGGTTCATGTTCTTGGCGACCTCTGATATCAACAGAGAGCTCATCACGCGCGCGTGGAACAGGGTGGTCGCCGACCTCAAGGGCAGGAAGCCGTCCACCCGCTACTGCCGCGCGAGGGGCATCTGCTCCGCCACTGTCTGCCTCCTGCTGCGCTATGACTGGGGGCCTCTAGGGCCCTGGCATTGGCGCAGCCCTGGCAACATTTAGTTTTTGTCCCGACCGAGAAGCAAACGGTCAGGGGCCTGGATTGTTCTGATCTGAGTTCGGTTTTTCGCATTCGATTCAGCGGCCCACGTGGCAGGCTGTCGGCAACGAATTTCTAGGCGTTGGCCTGGGGGGGGGGGGGGCACGCATGGACTCCCTCAGAAGCTTTCTTAGGAGGCTCCGCAAGGATGGGGGCTGCGCGTCTTTCGGGGCACCCGGGCAATTGCTGCAGGCGACATCTGGCCAGCCCAGAGGGCGCGTGATATACGTCCCGAGGTCGAGCCTCTCTGTCCCCGGTGCAAGCGGGCCCCCGAGACCCCGGAGCGCGCTCGCAGGGGGTGCCCTTGTAGCCTAGAATTAGAGCACTGTGCCCCGCAGGCTCTAAATGATCGCGCTCAGGAGGGATGCGAGAACCTATTTTGCGTTTTTTCGCATCGTTGTTTAATTCCAGCAGGCTGGATCCAAGCTGATCCCCCCCTCGACGAACCCTCTCCTCTGGACCTCGACCTCTCCTCGCGGGGCCTCCCGTGTTCCTCTGGCGCGGTGTTGGAAGCTGGCGACGCCACCGGGGGGGGTCATTCTTCGGTCCCGCTGCTGAGGCGAGTAGGTTGGGCAACCCGAATACTCCAGACGGGCCCCGCAGCCGCCAGAATAATATGCGATAATTTAAGTCGCGGGGGGGGGGGCCCTGGAGCTCAAGCAGTCAATCAACAGGGGTGAGCTCCGCGCCTTTTTCGTCTTCCCCCAGGCGACGGGGGCCTACCCCCTTCCTGTCACCCGCCAGCGTAGTGCTGATAGCACGTCTGTTCTGACGAATTTCAGCTAGGTCGTCGAGGGGTCATGCCTGAATCCAATCGTGCCGACTGGCTGGCGATCGAACGAGTGCTCAGAGACTGTTGGTGTTCAGGTTGAATTTTGCGGGTTGAATCTTACTTTTCCGCTGACCGGCAGAAGCATTTTCTTTTGTGCACTGGCATGCGAATAAGCAGGTAGATGAGCTCGATAGCCTCAGGGCCGAAAAGGCGCAGCTCCCCTACGCTCAGATCGTGGGCGCGGGCCTTGCCCAAGCTGTGGCGTTCAGGGTTCGAAGGCACCTTGTCGCCGTCATGTTGGATTCGGCTCGTTTTCGGGTCCCGCCACCACCCAGGTTCTTGGTGGCGAGACCCAGGGCCCCCGCGGTGGTCAGAAGTGCTCTTAAGCTTAATTTTGCGCTGATGGAGTCCGCGAGCATCAGATCTCGAACCTTCACAGACCTTTCTGGCAATGCTCACAGTGCGACGGACGCACGGGGAGGAAGTGTTGTTTTGATTTTCTTCGGGCCCCGCGCCCTGGCAAGTTTGCGACCGCCCCCCCTCGGCCATGTATGGGAGTGAAATCCACCTCTCCCACAGGATCCAGAGGGGAGTGGGGGGGGGGGCGTTTCTGAGAGGAGCTCGCGGACCTTACTCTGTTGTTCGAGTTTTGAGAGAGGGGATAGGCATCTCCTGCAAGTTCACCCGACGGGAGCAACTCACTTCCCGCGGACGATATAATATTGCGGCGTTTCTGATGGGCACATTTCCCCAGCACAGAGCGCGAACCACCGAAGAGAGTGTCAGCGCAAAGAGATCGCTCTGACTCCTCGGTGCTCAGGCCCGCGAACTCAGTTGGTCGGAGCCTCTTGTTTCCCTCCCCCGCGCTCTCGCGCTCCTCCAGTCAAAAAAACCTCCTCCTCCTCCTCCTCCTCCTCCTCCTCCTTTTCCTCCTACTGTTCCTCCCCCCCTCCTCCTTTTCCTCCTCCTCCTCATCCTCATCATCGCCCCTCCTCGGTCCTCGTCGTTCGTCCTCATTCGTCCTCGCTCCTCCTCCTCCTCCCTCCTCCTCTTCGTGCTCCTTTCCTCCTCCTCCTCTTCCTCCTCCTCCTCCTCATCCTCCTCGCCCTCCTCCTACCCTTCCTCCTCCACCTCCACCTCCTCCTCCTCCTCCTCCTCTCCTCCTCCTCCTCCTCCTCCTCCTCCTCTTCCTCCTCCTCCTCCTCCTCTCAAGTGCGGCGCAGGCCCCGCAGCAATTTCCGTATTGTTTTTTTCGCTCGGCGCCCTAGCCACGTCCCCGCCTCATCGTGGCACTTGGGTAGCACCGGGACAACCTCATCCTTTTCGTGACGTTCAACCGGTGGTGAAGGGGGACGAAAGTCAGGCTCGGCATGTTTGTTTTTATGCTTGCTGTATTGCTGGCCCGGGTGTCATCAGCTACCATGTCGGTATCTCCCATTTCCGCCTGGGGAGGGTATGCTATATATCTGGCGATTTGGGGCCCAATGTTTTTTTATATTATGGTGGGCTGTCAGTGCTGGTCACATGATGCGTTCAACGTACTGTCATTATCACCGTTTTCTTCTTTGTTCGGCTGCCGTCGGGCGCGGCGTCGCACAGCATTCAGTGATATTGTTTGGTCTGGCAGTCAGTTTTGTGTATCGAGGGACCTGTATGGTTTCAGTTCACAATAGTGGTGAAGTTCACAGCACTGTCAGCGCTGCCGAGCTGCGTATCTCGGGCCTGAGTGCGCAATGGGTTTGTCACAGCTTTGGTTGGCATCGCAACACACACAATATCGGTGGGATTCTCAGTTTTGTCAGTGCATATATTTCGCACGGTTCGTGCTGTGGGGTTTCCTCGTCTCGTCCGTCTTCTGAGCTGGGGAGAGGGCTTAAACACAACACTTTGTTTTATTGTCATATTTCATACTCATACTCCTCCTCCTCCTCCTCCTCCTCCTCCTCCTCCTCCTCCTCCTCGTTCCTCCTTTTCCTCCTCGCCCTCCCTGCCGAGGCGCGACGCGCACGCCACCACCTACTCCAAGTGCCTCCCCGAGGCAGGCGTTGGCGCCGGCGCGCCCGCGGCGCCGGCCGCGCCGCTCCGCATGGCCGCGGTGCCCACGTCGGACCGCGCATCCCCTCGACGACGACGAAAACGACCTTCCAGTCATCATCCCAGACCTCCCTTCGATGTTTTCGGTCGGCTTCGCTGGCTCCTGGAGTTCCCCTCGCCCAAGGATGCCTTCTGGCAGTTGCGGCTCGCCGAGGGTGTTCTAGGGGGGCCCGGATCGCCCCGAGGGGCCGCGCAGGACTCGCGCGACGGCCCCCGAGAGCTAGACATTGTCGCGCCCAAGAAAAATCATGGCAGACAGTTTTCCAGTGATGGAGGCTTCGGGCCCGTCAAAACGAAGTCGGGGCGAAAAGTTGATCCCAGGAGTGGATCCAGACATCTGGGGTTCCACATTGTAAAAAAAGTCACGACGCCGGAGGTTTGGGGCCGACGACGAGGTCGATGACGATCTCGGTGACGGTGACGTCGTCGTTTACGACGACGCCGACCTCGTCCTATTCCCTCGCTCCTCATCTTTCCACCCTTCCTGTATGACGCCGTCGCCGATGACGATGACGATGACGACGACCTCGTCCTACCCCCTCCCGTCTCATCCTTCTACCATCATCATTTTTCCCCATCTGTCTCTTTCGTTCTCTCTCTCTCTCTCTGTGTTTCTCCCCCCCTCTCTCTCCCCAAACAGCACTGGCTGCCGGAAGTTTGCGGCGCGGCTGCGTAATTGCTGCAACGCCTCTTGTCCTCCTGTTTGCCCTCCTCCCTCCAGCTTCTCGCCCTCGCCCCCCGTCCCCGCGGGTGCCCCCCTCGTCGTTTTCGTCAATGGTTTTCGCTCTCTGCCCTCGGGGGGGCCGGCTCGCATGAGGGTGAGAGCGAGCGCGGCCCTCCGCACGTCCTCTCGTTTATATGCTCTCGTGCAGGGTGATATTGCGAATCCGTGCATATAGCTGGCACTCCGACCCAGCTAGCATTGGTGTCCCCGCTGTGGGGTTTTGCTCCCTGCCTTCCTGTGGTGTTGGGTCTTCGCTCTGGCGAAGCAGTCCCCGCGTCTCCTTTTCTTCTCCACCTCCTGCTCCCTCCTCCCGTCACCCCCCACACCCTGGCACACCCTTCACACGCTTCGTGGCCCCATGGGGAGCTCCACCGAAGGCCCCTGTGGCTGGGTTCACATGCCGCCACCCCCTTCACTCTGGCACACCCCTCACACGCTTCGTGGCCCCATGGGGAGCTCCACCGAAGGCCCCAGTCGCTGCGCTCGCATGCCGTCACTCCCTTCAGTTTGGCACACCCCTCACACGCTTCGGGGCCCCATACGGAGCTCCACCGAAGGCCCCAGTCGCTGCGTTCGCATGCCGCCACTCCCCTCAGTTTGGCACTACCCTCACACGCTTCGTGGCCCCCCACGGAGCTCCACCGAAGGCCCCACAGTGGCTGCGCTCGCACGCCGCGCCCGCATGTTTTCTGCCGGCGCTTGTCAGCCGCAACGGGTTACAGTCGGGGCGCTGAAGAAGGAACCCTCTTCGTTGGGGAGGGACTCGGTGTTCCTTGATTGTTTTACAGTTTGCCTTGGGTTTTCCTTAGGTTTTCAGTGGTAAATCGAAGTTTAACTTATGGAAAAAAAGGGTCTCGTTCCTTATTTAGGGTTCCTTAGGTCAACGCCCCGACTGTACATCGGCATGTCACCCGTCTCGTCCGACCCCCTCCGCGCCCCTGCGGACGGCCCCGCCGGCAGCGCCCGCACGGCGGCCCCGCCCCGTTTCGGCGCTCCCTCCACGCGCTGCGCGGCCGCTCCACCGGAGGCGATGTTCACAGCGGCTGTATTCAGTTTTTAACGGGTGAAGAACGGTATAAAATATCGTTCTTCGCCCGTTAAAAACTGAATCTGGTCGGGTCTTTCGTCCGGGTACCTTTCTGAGGGGGGGATCTTGGCAGCGCGGGGAGCCTGGTGCTCCCGATTGCGCGCTCCGATCTGCATCTATGCATCTTGAGCTCGGACTTGGATCACATGGTGAGCGTCCGCCCGACCAGCATCGTCATCATCACCACCACCACCATCATCATCATCATCATCATCATCACCATCATCATCATCTTCATCATCATCATCATCATCATCGTCATCGTCATCATCATCATCATCATCATCATCATCATCATCATCATCATCATCATCATCATCATCATCATCATCATCATCATCATCATCATCAGAGCGTGTTCTACCGCTGCTGGCGGAAAAACTACGGTTCGGGCGGAAAACCGGGGGGGGGTCACTACCGGTTCGAACCCCTCCCCCCCCCCCCCATCATGAAAAGGGGGGGGGTCACTACCGGTTCGAACCCCCCCCCCCCCTCCCCCTCGAAAACCGAGGGGGGGTCACTACCGGTTCGAACCCCCCCCCCCTCGAAAACCGAGGGGGGGGTGCGGACAGTGGTGGGGACGGTGGTGATGGGGACAGTGGTGAGGGGACAGCGGGACAGTGGTGGGGACAGTGGGACAGTGGTGGGGACGGTAGTGGTGGGGACAGTGGTGAGGACAATGGTGGGAACAGTAGGGACAGTGGACAGTGGTGGGGATGGTGGTGGTGGGGACAGTGGTGTGGGGACAGTGGGAATGAGGTGGAAACAGTGGGACAGTGGAGGGTACAGTGGTGGGGACGGTGGTGAAGGCGGTGGCGAGGACGGCGGTGGGGCAATGGGACAGAGGTACAGTGGGGACACTGGTGCGGACAGTGCGGACAGTGGTGGGAACAGTGGGACAGCTTAGTGGGACAGCGGAGGAGTCAGTGGGACAGTGGGGACAGTGGGGATAGTCGGGCAGTGGTTGGGGCCGTGGAGAAAGTGGGGAGAGTGGAACCCTGGTGGGAACAGTGGTGGGGACAGTGGGGACAGTGCGACAGTGGTGGGGGGCACTGGTGGGGAGAGTAGGGACGGTGGTGGAGCCAGTGGGGACAGTGGTGGTGAGGACAGTGGTGCTGGGAACAACAGTGGGGGATGTGGTGCGGACGGTGGTAGGGACCGGGAGTCGTTTGCTGGCGGTGAGTGGGGGTGGGTGGGGAGGGGTTCGAACCGGTAGTGACCCCCCTCCGGTTTTCGAGGGGGGGGGGGGTCGAACCGGTAGTGCCCCCCCCCGGTTTTCGAGAGGGGAGGGGGGGGGGGGGGGGGGGTATGGGGAGGGGGGGGGTTTTGCCGGGGGGGGGAGGGGGGGGGAGAGGTTCCAGCAGGGGGGGAGGGAGATTTTTGGAGGGGGGGGGGGGACCCCCGGGTTCCGGAGGAAAAGTGCGGCAATTTTCAACAATAAAGCGGCGGTGGATCACGCTCTCTGTCATCATCAGAAGCCATCCAATTTCACCCTCCACAGCGCCCCCCTGGAAGTGCGTTCGTGCAGTTCGAGCAAAATGCAAATCGCCGTATGAGCGCAGATCGCATGAGCTGCGCCAACCGATTCTTCGTGCGGTCGATCGCGCAGCCCTCCGGCATTGCGTGGTGTTGGCAGCTCTCGGGGCCCGCCCGCTCTCGGAGCCGACGCCGCGCAAGGAGTTTTGCGCGAGCCGAGCGCAAGCCTCGCGCTGGTTTCGCCCGAGCCGCGCTCAAGCCGTGTTGGGTTTCCGCGCGGGCCTTGCGCCATTTTGTCACGGCCCAGTGTGCGATTTTCGTTATGTTTCGCGCACAGCGTGCGTGCACCAGTGCCCGCGGGCATTTGGAGGGTCCAGGAAACCCCGGAAGGGCGCCGTGCAAGCCCCGCGCGGGCCCCGTGCGACAGTTGCCCAGTTCGCCGCCCCCCAGGCAGCCGCGGGGTCATATCCCAATACAGAAAATTACAGTTTTTCTGCTTTGGAGAGGGGGAGCGCCTTTTCGGCAGCCTCCGCAAGGCGGGTTCATGGCCTCGGTGGCGCGGAAGGGATCGTAGCGTCAGGGGCGCGAGCTTGTTGTAATTTACAAGGGATCGTGGCCTCGGGGGCGCGAAAATTATGTAAATTACATGGGATCGTGGCTTCGGGGGCGCGAACGTGGCCTAAATTACAAGGGATCGTGGCCTCGAGGGCGCGAATGCAAAGTAATGTACTATGGATCGTGGCCTCGGAGACGCACATGTGGGGTAAATTACAAGGGATCGTGGCTTGGGAGACACGAGTGTGGCATGATTTACACGGGATCGTGGCTTTGGGGGCGCGAATACAGTGTAATTTGCAAGGGATTATGGCTTGGGGGTACGAAACTCTAGTATTTTTACGTGTCCCACGCCCCCCCCAGAAATTCCCTCTCAGGGGACGCAACCAGAGCCCTTTTCGGACAGTATCAATTTACAGGCGGAAGCAGAAAGCAGCACTGTAACAATGGAAATTGGAAGCTGGAACTGGTGCAGGGAGCAGCAACCTTAATCCTCGCACCCTGATGGCCCCGCAAGGGGGCCGGCGGATCCGAGGAGGCCCCGTGGCCAGCCCGCCGCCGGCCCGCTTCCCCACCTCGCGACGCCGAGGAAAGCAGTCCGTGCACCACGGGCTACACGACCCTGTCCAGGGGGTGGTGGTGGGACGAGTACGACAAGTTCTCCGAGGCCTCGGGGGGGGGGGGGGACAGTGATCGCGTGCCCCGTGCCGTGGCGAGCGCCAGATGAGGTGTTCGGACGTGTTCCCGGGTCCCGGGAGGCTGTCCAGCGTCGGGAGTTGGGATGTTTTTCCGCCGCTGCGCCTCGTCGAGAGCTCGTCCAGGGGGGCCGAGGTGTCCCGAGCGGCCGCTGGAGGCCCGAGCTGTGGCCCGGAAGCGGCCGGGGACCCCGCTGACTGGCGGCATGATTTTTGTTCCGATCCGGGCGCGTTTCTTCTGATCATTGTCGGGCGAAGGACGGTAGAAAATCAATTGTTTCGCTGTCGGGGGCGCCTGTCCCAGGCCGGCCGAAAAGTGTATACCTTTTTACGGTGGCACGTCAAGGTATATGAATCTTCCAGCCGCCCTGAGGCAGCGCCCCGGGCGACGGAAAAGGTTGTGTCATACCGTTCTTCGCCCGCTGAGGTCCTCGCTTCTGTGAGGCCCAGCGTGGGGCCATCAGAGGTCGGCCACGCGCAGAGGGGGAGGGGGGGGGGAGGGGGGAGGGCTTCTTAGAGGCACCCGTGCTTCTTAGAAGGCGCGGGCCTTCTCTGCAGATGTAGGGCCCGCGCCTTCTGAGAAGCAGCCTCCTTCATTAAGAAGCCCTCCTCCCTCCTGCTACCCCCTCGTGCGCGCCGCCGAAGGAAGAGAGCTCCAGGGGAGGGGGCCGGGGGCCGGGGCCTCCTCGGGGCCGTGCGCCGATCAGAGCGCATCGTCAGACGTGTTGGGACGAAGCGTCCGTTTTGTCCCCCTGGTTGCAGTGCAGTGGGGGCCCATGCCAAGGAACACCCTGCAGGGAGAGGGCCCAGTGAAAGGAGGAGAGTGCCTTCTTGGGGTATCTGGGTCGCCTCTTGGGGCTTTCTGGTTGCCTCTCGGGGCAGAGGGCTTTGAATGTCGGTTGGTGCTCCTCTTGCGGCTGTTTGGGGCTCTCTTGGGCCGTCTTGGTCGGAGAGGGGGGGTTCACAATCCCGGGGACACCCCCCCTGGCGGGGAAGGGGTCAAAGGGAAGGGGTTCCCTCTCGACTCGACAACGACGTAATTCGATTTCCGTCCGGCTGGATCGCTTGAGAAGGAGGGCCCAGTGACAGGGGGAGAGTGCCGACGACGACGACGACGACGACGACGACGACGGCGGCGACTCAAACAGAAGAGGTCGACGACGACGCTGTTCGATTGCCCTCTGGCTGGATCGATTGGTGTCCGCGCTCAAGCACCAAGGCCTCCTGCGCCTGCGGGGGGGGGAGGAGGCCGGCGGGGCCCCAGGCGCACGTCTTGCCCTCCCTGCGACGCCCATCCTTACGGTGGAGACCCATGCCAAGGAACACCCTGCCTGCCTCCAGGGTGCCCTGGGTTCCTTGGGTTTCGATGGTTTCGCGATGGAGGGCGCGAAGTTCCCACAAACACACACACAACAACAACAACAACAACAACAACAACAACAACAACAACAACAACAACAACACCACCACCACCAACAACAACAGCATTAGCAGCAGCAGCAACAACAACAGCAGCAACAACAACAACCACAACCAAAACCACCACAACAACAACAACAACAACAACACCAACACCAACACCAGCAACAGCACCCGCAACAGCAACAGTAACAGCAACAGCAACAGCAACAACAACAACAAAAACACGGACGTCCTGGGGCCTCAGGGTTGGGTCTCTTGTGGGAGGTTTCTTGTGGACTGGCCTCCACTGCAGGTTCGACCCCAGCGCGGGGCATCGCCCCCCGTCCGCTTCCATCACCGCCCCTCCCACCCCGCCTCCGCCCCGCCCCCGATGCCGGCCCCGCCCAGCGACGAGGTCTGTGCACGTGCTCCGCCCCTGGCCAGGCCCACCCCGGGCCCGCGCCTCGGCGCGTACGACTTCCCGGGCAAGCCAGGAGGGCGCACAGACCGATCCTGAGCCCAGGAGGATGAGGAGGAGGAGGGAGGAGCGAGGAGGGAGGAGGAGGAGGAGGGAGGAGGAGGGAGGAGGGAGGAGGGAGGAGGGAGGAGAAAGGAGGGAGGAGGGAGGAGGGAGGAGGGAGGAGGGAGGAGGAGGGAGGGAGGAGGAGGAGTGGGCTTGCCCAGAATCGGTGTATTTGGATGCGTCCTCCGACGCGCCGCCCGCTCCTCCGCCCCCCTCCCGAGGCCAGCCCCTCCTGGCCCTCGCTGCCCAGACCCGGCTGGCCCCGAGGCTGCCGACCTGAAGGACTGCGCCGGGCAGTGTGACGCGCTCCAGGGCTGCGTCTCCTTCGTGTACCGCTCGATCCGGCAGGACGCACAGGCGGCCGCGGCGGAAGAGGGCGAGGTCAGGTCGGGTCCCGACGGCGTGTGAGGGCGCCAAGCCGACGACCGCCGAAGGACGAGCAGCGGAACGGACGCGTGTGCCCTTCCCCAACGCCCGCCAGATAGATACCTTCCCCGGCGACTCCGATGCTGTGGGTGGGTGAATGGGAGATTGTCGTTCTTCGAGGACGGGCCAGGAGGGGGTGGCATTGGGAAAGGGGGCGGCGACTTCGGTCGACGGCGCGCGCGGGGAGTTGCCGCGAGGAGGGTGGCGGCTTTCTTAGAAGGCGGAGGGGTACATGGCAGGGGTTTTCGGAGAGGCGCGCCTGGCTTCTGAGGAACCGTCGCAGCACCGTGGAATCGTAGAAGCCCCCGAGCCCTTCTGCCAAGGCCTCCGCCTTCCAAGGAGTCCGCCGCCGAAGGCCGCCCCCTCACCCCCCCCCGTACCTTGGCATCGCTCGGACGTGTGCATTTTTTCTCGGCGAAAACCATCGAGGACCATCCTGGACCATCGAGCAAACAAAAACACGCACGAAACCGAGAAATGCACGGGAAATGGACGTCCGAGCGATGGCCAGGTACGCACCGCCACCAAAACAGAGCATGCCACGAGCGCTGTCTGGCCCCTTCGGCGTGCGTCCGCCTCGCGCCTCTCCGGGGGCAACGGCAGAACTGCGCGCGACGGAGAACCTGTCCCGGGGGCGTGGTCGAGCGCGCTGAGGCCGACGTCGCAGCCAAGTCTTTCTGTCGAGGCCTTTTGGGTCCTCGAGGGGCACGATTGGGCGTCAGCTTGGGGTCCTCCTGGGACGATCTGGGGGGCCTCCTTGGGCCGTCTTGGACTCCTTTTGGCTCTCTTGGGATGCTTCTTGGACCGTCTTGGGGCCGCCTTGGGCCGTCGTTAGGCCTTCTTGGGCCGTCGTGGAGCTCTCTCGGAGAGGACTTGGGCCGTCTGGGAGCGATCTGGGAGGTTTCTTGTGCGTTCTTGGAGCAAGAGAGGCTCGAAGGGCCAGAGCTCGAAACCGTGTTGAAATTTACCCCTCGGGGCTCTCTTGGGGGTGCTCGTGGGGCTGGTTTGTGGCGTCTTGGGCAGCTCTGGTGCCTTCTTGGGGTATCTGGGTCGCCTCTTGGGGCTTTCTGGTTGCCTCTCGGGGCAGAGGGCTTTGAATGTTGGCTGGTGCTCCTCTTGCGGCTGTTTGGGGCTCTCTTGGGCCGTCTTGGTCGGCGAGGGGGGGGCCACACTCCCGGGGACACCCCCCCTGGCGGGGAAGGGGTCAAAGGGGAGGGGTCTCCCTCTCGACTCGACAACGACGTAATTCGATTTCCGTCCGGCTGGATCGCTTGAGAAGGAGGGCCCAGTGAAAGGAGGAGAGTGCCGACGACGACAACGACGACGACGACGACGGCGGCGACTCAAACAGAAGAGGTCGACGCGACAATGTTCGATTGCCCTCTGGCTGAATCGATTGGTGTCCGCGCTCAAGCTCCAAGGCCTCCTGCGCATGCTAGGGGGGGGAGGAGGCCAGCGGGGCCCCAGGCGCACGTCTTGCCCTCCCTGCGACGCCCATCCTCACGGTGGAGACCCATGCCAAGAAACACCCTGCTTGCCTCCAGGGTGCCCTGGGTTCCTTGGCTTTCGATGGTTTCGCGATGGAGGGCGCGACGTTCCCACGCACAGAATCCATGGACATCCTGGGGTCTCAGGGTTGGGTTTCTTGTGGACTGGCCTCCACTGTACCCCTCCCCGGTCCCCTGCTGATCTCTCTCCCCTCGCCTTTCGCTTCCTCTTTCCGACACCTCGGCCGGGCGCGGTTGGCAACATTGGCCGGTTCTTTCTATGTCGTTTGGATCCTCGTTGGCGATCTCGGGCGTTACCCGGGGGGGGACACGGGCCTGGTAACGTCACGATTTGCGCCCGCGACGTCTCGCAGCGGTTGGGCGCACGACCGCCACAGCCACGACGGCGGCGCCGACTGGCGTGGTCCGCAGGCCTCCAGAGGCTTGCAGAGGTCCTGGCACTACTTGTGGAGATCTCTGCGCGGGGGCTTCCGAGAGTCCCCAACGGCTTCTGGATCGGGCGTCGCGTAATGGGGGGGCTCTAGACGAGGGGGGGCAGCGAGGGCTGCCGAAAAGGGGCCCCTGCAGGGACCCTTGAGGGCCTAAAACGGGGGAGGGGGCCTCCAGGGCCCGAAAAGTGCGCCTTCCTCCCCTCCCACTCATCGCCCCCCATTGAGCGACGCTGAATGCACGATGGAGATCTCTCCGCGGAGGCCTCCGGAAGTCCCTGGCGGTTTCTGGGGGCCCCAGAGGTCCCTTGCCCCCTGGAGGCCGCGCGCAGGTCGCGTGGGGCCTCTGCGGGGTCCCGCCCCGGGCCCTCGCGGAGATGGGACCAGAAGGCTTCCACAGAGGGGCTGGGCCAGGGTCTCGTCCGCGAGCGTCTGGGGTGAAGCCGCGTCGGTTCAAGCCCGCACGTTCCAAGCCAAGCCTCTCGCTGTCTTTCCTGGGGATCTGGGCCTCTCAAGTGGACCGACGATCCTGCAGACGTGTGTCAGCCCAATGCGTGTGTGTGTGTGCCCCGCTCAGCTCTGCCGATGGCACGCCGCCTGATGCGCCGGCCCTCGTCACGCCGCCTGCGTCGTGATAAAGAGCCTCGGTGAACAATCGCACGTTGGCGCTAACGCACGATCTGACGACGATCGGACGGAGTCCGAGTGGATGGGGTCGGCGGACCGTGCCGCATCGCCGATGCGGCTCGATGTGGAGACTGGATGGCGCCGCGCTGGCGTCGCCGACGCACCGCCGACGTCACCCGATGCATCGGCGATGCCAGGCGACCCTCCGACCCCAGCTGTGCGGATCCCACATGGGAGGCCTCTGTTAAAGAAGGCAGAACGGCACCGGGCAGAAAGCTTCAGAGGTCAGCGAGGACCTCTTGGGTCGGCGCTGACCCCCCTGGCGGCGGCGCCACGTCGCGGGCACGTCTGTGCCGCGGTGTCTTTCTTCGGCTTCCGGCACGCGCGAGCAATGTCGAAGTTCAGGCAGTTCGCACCCCTGGTGGTCACCGCCGTGCTACGCGTGGGCGTGTGGCTCTCTTTGAGGGCCATCGCGCTTTCTTTTGCGTGCGTATTCGAGGCCGTCTGCTCGCTTCTGGGGCGCACGCAGAAGCCTCCGCCCAGGCGCTTGAGACCGGCCTCCAGCGAGAGCATGGCGGAGTTGTTGCAGATTCTGCCGCGCGCGACCCTGCCGGACACGCTGCTCTCCCGGCCAGTGTCACTGAGCTTCGCGCCGTGCAGCAATCTGTGCCTGTACATGTTTGGGGCGGCAGCCTGTCTGCAGCGGGCGACCAACTTTGAGGTTGCCAGGCCCGGCCTTTGCTACCGTGGGGTCTCCAGCGGTGCTGTTGTGGCGGCGGTTCTAGCAGTCAATGCAGACGTGCCAGATTTGTTCGAGCGATGTTTGAGTCTCCTGGACGCCTTAAACGTGCGAAGATGGGGGTGGATAGGAGCTTACTCTGCTACAATTCGCGAAATTGTGCGCCGCGCGGCAGATGGGAAGAACGTCAGTTTGGAAACTGGTGGAGGCAAGCTGAGTGTGGGAACGACCATCTTGAGGCCATGGCCTTGCTTTCATGATATCACTGCCTTCGAGTCATCTTTCAGCCTGCAACAAGCAGTCCTGGCTTCTTGTTTCATACCTGTGGTCTGGGAAGATAGCATCTGGCTTGAAGATATTGGTCCTTGTTTGGATGGGGGGGCTTCAGGATTTTTGGTCAATGGAGATACCGTTATCAGCCCTTACCACTCCAACCTGCCAGACGTTGGCCCCTCTGTGGAGTATCCGCGACAGCTGGTCTTTCAGCCCATCGACGCGGGCGACATGCTGCGATTGTTTGAGGACGGCTATCGAGACTGCGCACGGTGGATCGATGCAGGATGCCCTTCTCGGCGCGACGAACGTCAGAGGGCCATTGAGGCCGTGGGCGCGGGAGGCATCGCCGCGCTGCTGCGGGAGGGCTGGGCCACGCTGCTCGAGGTGTCCGGCGTTCGCCAGAAGCGAGCCTGACTCAGGTTTGCCGTGTGTCGGCCATGCGCTTCAGTCTACAGTCATCGATTGAAGGAATGAGCGTGCTTGAATATCAAATTGAGGAGGTCCGCTCAGATTCTTTGGATCGGCGCTGGATCCCCTGGCAGCGCCTCCAGCGCCGCCCAGTGCGCGCTCCGCGCGACGCGGTCCAGTGCAGAGGAAGCCCAAGGTGCATCAACGATGCTGCTGCACACTCTCCCATCCCAGGTCCTGGCTTCATTAGACCCACCACAACCCGCACCGCAGAGGCACTCAGAAGCCCCAACGGGAACCCTCGGCATCCTTCGAGGGCCATTGCTGCGCATCAACAGCCTCCCAGGGCACGCATTGGCGGTCGCAGCCGTGGACGCGGGGGGGGAGGGCCCAAGAAGGGAGCCCTAGAGCTCGACGCAAGAGGGCTCTGCCCTTGCCTGGCTCGCAGCATGGCGAAGCACCACGCTGATGCTTCGCGAGGACCCAGGATCAGAGCCCTCCCGCGGGCGGTAGCGGCGGCCCGCAGCGGCGAAGACGACGAAGAGGCGACAACGACGACAAGAAACGCCGACCACGACGGCGAGAAGACAGCGAAGTCGGCAGCAACGGCGGTTGGGAAAGACGGGGGAGGAGGAGGGAGGAGGGAGGAGGGAGGAGGATAAGGATGAGAATGAGGATGAGGACGGGGATGAGGATGAGGATGAGGATGAGGATGAGGATGAGGACGAGGACGAGGACGAGGACGAGGATGATGATGAGGATGAGGATGAGGACGGTGATGTTGATGGTGGTGGTGGTGGTGGTGGTGGTGATGGTGATGGTGATGGCGATGGTGATGAGGATGAGGATGAGGATGAGGATGAGGACGGTGATGGTGATGGTGGTGGTGGTGGTGATGGTGATGGTGATGAGGATGAGGATGAGGATGAGGATGAGGATGAGGATGAGGATGAGGATGAGGATGAGGGTGAGGATGAGGGTGAGGATGCGGGTGAGGATGAGGATGAGGGTGAGGATGATGATGAGGATGATGATGATGAGGAGGAGGAGGAGGAGGAGATTGAGGAGGAGAGGGGGAGGGCAGGAACTGGCGATATGGAGCCCAAATGTCGCTCGACACTCCTATGCTCCCCAACCAACTCCAGCCCTTTCGAGCCGCTCTGCAGAAGCAGCCGAGGGGAGGAAGGGCCCCCCCTCCTGTGAGGTCCTTTTCCGTTCCCAGGGAGCTCTTGGGAGCCTCGATGCAGAAAGAGGCGCGCTCCAGAAGCTCATGAGGAGGAGCACCAGACCCCAGGAATCTGGAGGGGAGGCCCTCCCCCTTTCAGAAGCCTGGGTTTCTTGCGAGGGTTCCTTGCGGCCGCGCCCGCACTGTATTCAACAATAGTCAAAAGATAGTCTGGGGACGATTGTTTGACAATTTTTGAGCATTTGCTTGGCATGATCGGGGTATTTCTCATTCTTCGTCCAAGATCCGCCTGTAGGGTGACATGCCCGACCCAACGGTGGCACTTTAGCGCAGCTGGCACCGGCAGGGTGCGCCGTGCAGAGTTCGCAGCATACACGCCGGTCGGTGAAAGTAGGTATTTTTGGATTCCCAGATCCCAATCTACTTCAAGCGCCTTCCTACTTCAAGAAGCGACACGCTTTTGCTGTGTTCTGTTATTCCCTGGGGGGGCCTGGACCCAATCTACTATATCCGCCTTCCTCTACTTAATGTGTCTACCTACTTCTTCCGACCGACGTGTACCCTAAGGTTCGAAGATTCCGGGCTCGAGGTCCGAGGTTTTCGGACGTGTTCGTCGGTTCTCGGCGGTTTTCCAGCCTTGGGATGCTTGCCGGCAGCTGCGCCTCGCCGAGAGCGGTCCAGGGTTAAGTCGGGCCCGTCCCTCTACAGGAAGAATATTCAAAAATAGTTTGGGGACTATTTTTGAGTTTTTTTTTCTCCCCATTTTGGAGTATTTTTTGAGTATTTGTTAATTTTCGTCGAAAATCCCTCTGTAGGGGGACAGGCCCGACTTGCTTCCAGGGGTGCAGAGTCGTCCCGAACGGCCGCCGGAGACCCGAGCTTCGACTCAACAGCCAGAGAGGTCGGCGGCGAACCGAGATCAAGGTCGGTCCAGGGAGGGTGGCCTACTGTTCTTCGCGTTCGTTGGATGCTCTTGTGCACCCCTGGGGAGGGTGCCCTCGGATGTTCTGTCTGCGTGTGTTGGCCGGTGGAGAACATCATGTTCTTGATGGATGTTCTTCTGGCCTAGGTCCGCTTGTAGCGGTCACGCCCAGTGGTCCATGAGTTGACGCTCTTCGCGCTCGAGGTTCCAGGGGGTTGATGAGTTCATGGATTGATGAGTTGATACCTTGACGGATCGGTGGCATCGCGCTTGGATGCCACGGGAGGTCCTGGCCAGCCTCCCATGTGGGGAAGGACGCAGGAGCCTCGGGGCCCGTGCCACTCGGGGTGGGGCGTAGGAGCCCAGGACCTCGGACCATGTACAGTCGGGGGAGCGTAAGACCCGGGTTTGCCAGGACTCGGGTTCGCCGTCGTTTTTTGGCGACCGCGCCTCGGATTTTGACGAGGAGGAGTTTCGTGGGAAGTCTGCAGCGGGAGGCCTCGTCAAAATGCAGGCTCGGCCTCGTCATTTTTTTGACGACATCGTCGGGGATTTCCGAGTCCCTTGTACCCAGGTCTTACGTCCCTCTGATACAGTGCAGGCCCGGACATCGAGGGTCCTTGGCTCAGACGTGAGGCCCGATGTCTCGCCGCCGTGAGCGCCCAGGGCCCGGAGCTGGCCCACAGAAGACCAGCTCTGCACTCTGTACAGTGGAAGCCCATACCAAGAAGCACCCTGCTTGCCTCCAGGGAGCCCTGGGTGTCTTGCGTTTCGATGTCTTTGCTATGGACGTCGTGACGTTCCCACACCAGAAGTCAATGGACGTCCTGGGGTCTCAGGGTTGGGTTTCTTGTGAAAGGTTTCTTGTGGCTGACCATCTACTGTACACAGGACCCGAAGGACCTGAGAACACCCAACTCAGTGCTTCACAGCTTAGCGGCAAGGCGGCGGATCATTCGATCCCATTCCAAACATATGCAACCCTACCTAGTCCCCCGCAGTTGCGGATAAGGGAGAGGGGTGCCCATCCCCTGTGTCCTGTGTCCATCTCAGTGTCCATCCCCAGTGCCCATCCCCAGTGTCCATCGCCAGTGTCGATCCCCAGTGTCCATCCCCAGTGTCCATCCCCAGTGTTCACCCCCAGTGCCCATCCCCAGTGCTCATCCCCAGCCTCCATCCCCAGCTTTCATCCCGGAGGCGAACCCTCTGGAATGGCGAACGCACGCCCGGGGAAGAGAAATAATCCCTTTGCGGAGCGACCCTCCCCCAAAGGGATGCACGAAACCCTTGGGGACGCACCGCGGGCGCCTCTGGTGCGGGCCAGTGCGAAGCGATGCACGGAAGCCCCCGGGACGCACCGTTGGCGCGGCCCAGTGCGAACCCTCCCGGGACGTTTGCCCGGGTCGTTCAACCTTGAACGATAATTCTTTTCTGAGGCCCCCGGAGGCTGACCAGAGCGCCAACCAACCTCCACTGGGTGGCTAAGTTCGGTCTCGCCATCCAGCCTCCAACAGGTGGCGAAGACGACACATACGCCGCGCCGAGGCGGGATCGCTACGTGCAGTCGAATTCTGCGCGGCGCCTGGGCAAGAGCAGCATTTCGCCTGCCCGCGCGCGGCCAGGCTTCCAACGACTGGGCGAGCGAAAATGTGATGCCACGCCCAGGCGGGAGTGCCATTTCCAGGCAGAATGTGCGCTGCCCCTGGGCGGGAGCGGGAGCGACATCTCGCCCGCTCACGCGCGGGCCCGCGGCCAACGAATGGACAAGCGAACGACGCGCGCCACGCCCAAGCGGGAGTGATAGTTTGGAAATATGTGCGGCGCGGAGGCGAGAGCGATACGTCGCGCTTTCACCCGCGATGCGCGCCGCGCCACGCGCTTGCCACGTAGCTGTGCAATGTCGGCAACAGAGCGTTCACGTTGAGGGAAGCCAAGTCGATGTTGTATTGCTTTGTTGATGGATAGGCTGAAAGGGCCCGACCATATTCGCGCGGGAGGTGCGCCGCTCCTTTTTCACGCACGCATTCTATAACATCGGCGACATAACCATCTGGGTTGAAAGAGAATGCCGATGTGATATTGATTTAGCAGGTGGGATGGAGCGTCTGGGATTGGGCCCCTATCGGCTGTCTAGGTGGCAGAGCGGGGGTAGATGTTCATGCTAAGGATCGGGGCTGCTGGAGGCCACTGGACGCATGAGTTGGTGGGGGTGTCCACGTTGGTGCAAGCATGGGTTATGTGTCGACGCAGCCACGCTTTTGAGCTGCTGACAAGGCGGAGTGCTACCTGTACAAGGGACCCAGCGCAACGTTCGACGCGTCGGTCGTGGCCCTCACGAAGTGCGGCAGCGACGCTCAGTTCTGCTGCATGTCGGGCCAGCTTTCATATCGTTCGCGCTTGACGATCTGATGGATTGGCTCCTCCTTCCATCTCCCACCTGCTCCACCTCATCCCAGCAATTCTCTCCCTTCCCTCTTCGTCCTGCCCCTTCCTCCCCTCCTCTTCCATCCATCGCCTCTTTGTGGGCATTGAACCTCCTCCTCCTCCTCTTCTCGTCCTCGTCCTCCTAATCCTCCTCAGCCTCTTCCTCCTCGCTGCAATTCCTCATGTTACCGTTCCTTGCTCCTCGGAGGAAACGGGTGAGGATGGTAAGGAGGAGAAGTAGGAGGAGGAAGGTAAGGAGGAGAAGGAGGAGGCAAGGCACATGGCAATGTCATACTCCTGCCACCTCGTCGACGGAGGAGTAGGGAGGTACGGACAAGGATGAGGAGCGGAGAGACGACGCAGCGGGAAGGAGCGACAGCAGGGAGGAGGTGGAGGGAGCGAACAGGAGGCGCAGCAGCAGTAGCGGGCTTCCCCATCAGAGCGCAGCGGAAGTTTTGAGCAGCTACCCGTCGGTCGTTGATTTTAAATATTTTCCCATCTGGGATCCGTGAATCCAAAAATTGCTCAAATGGTTCAAGCCGTTTGAGCCCCGTGCTTTCGGCACACTGGCTCAAATGACAATTTGCAGCCCCTTTTCCGGGCCAGCGCTCCCATCCGGAGACCCGTGTCCGGGAATTGCATTTTCTTCACAATCCCTTCTTGAATTGTCTTGCCAAGTTAGCGATGCCGGCGGAAAAACACCTCATGGCAACTGCAGTAAACAGTGTGTTTAAGCAGGCTAGGGCAAGGCTCTTGCAGGTCGTCGCTGCAGGAGCAGCAGTCGATCACGATGGACCCCCAATACAGCGTCAACTGCACTTGTAAGAAAGCCTGGCAGCGGCAGCAGGGCCCAGCTCAGGGCCCCTCACAGCAGGAGCTTTCGAGCAAATTCTACGCACACGGCTGGACCCAATCCGGAAGGACATCGCAGCTATCAGAGCACACGGCGCTTCACAGCGAGACCTACAGGAAGCACTTGGACCGGCGATGCACGACATCGAAAGCCTGACAAAGCGCATGGGGCTCTTGGAAGCCAACTGCTCGCAACCGGCATCCCCGAGAAGAGCATTCTTGGAGCATTGGTTGACACCACCACGCAGAAAAAGATGTCGGATCTTGAACGGGAAGTTGCACTTTCCGGAATGGTGGTAGTCGACTTTCTTCCAGTATCGTGTGCATGACAGACAAAGGGATGTCACGGCAGTTGTAGGGAATTTTGATGGGTGTCTCAATATGGAAGCGGTAACCGATTGGATGGAACAACAGTTGCAGCGGCTGCAGCCTGTTCCCAATAACATGGACGATAAAGGAGAGTTCCGGGATGTCTTCTTTGTTAAGCTCGACGCTGCCTACGCACGGAATACAGTTGCCACCGCCCTTCGCAACGCTAGCACAGCGAGGAATGGCAGAAACGCTTGGGCCACGCAAAATCGCCCTCCATTGGTTCGTTCTGCTCCTGTTGTTTTGTTTCGGTTTGAAATACAATGTGAAAAAAACTATGAATATTGAGTACCCCATCCGTGTCGACGATACAGCACAACCAGACCGTCACAGTTGGTGGCCAACTTGTTTTCAGCATGAGCATCGGGAAAGATACCCTTACCAAGGAACGACATTCAGACTGGGGCCATTCGAAAGAATTGCATGCTCACCCTAAGTTGGTTGAGCTTAACTCTTCTTGCGATGGGATCGTTCGCCGATCAGCGAACAGCATCCAAGGAGGTGCAAAAGGGTACTTCGAAAGGGGGGCGGGTAGGATCCACGGCGGGCGCGGGGTGCTTGTACCAGTTGGAGTCTTTCTACACCCAGCGCCGGAGCCGTAAATAACTACCCCATCAAGGCCTTCTGCAGCACCGCCATCGCTTTCTGCCAATCTCCCGGGGACGACACCTGAAGTGGGCAAATACACCGTGGGGGATACACGGAATTTGAGCAAATATTCCATCCCAGAACTAGTTCAGCAGATGTTCAAGACAACGTTGCTTCCAATGCGCTCAGCAAGGAAGTACAGGACATCGATATGGACGTGGATGAGGACATTCTCCGGGCGCCCCCTCCCCCAGCTCTCGCCCCCCCCTATGCCCAGACGGCTGCTCCCAGGCAAGTTCTACGACAATTCATTTCGCTACATGGAACGCGCGCGGTTTCACAGATGTGACAACTGCCGAAGTCACTGCCTATGCAACATTTCAACATAGATGTGCGTCTATATGGTAGATGGGTACCAGATCGTAGTTTCTGAAGTCTACGATGCAGCGCGCAGTATTTCCACGGGAGTCGGCCTCATCATATCCCCAGGGGCGCAGCCAAACATGACACCGCATAAGCAGAAGTTTGACAGGATAGCATGGGTAAAGACCAAGACTGGCAAAACAACACTCGGCTCATAACACTCGGCTCATTCACCATCTTCGTCCCACGCAATCGAAAACCACTGCAAGGACGCCACCACCAATTTATTCACCTGACTGTACTCAATGTTTATATCCATTTCTTCCCGGCCGACGGGTGCTGTATATCAGTGGTGATCCAGACACGCGGGTGGTCACAATGGCCGGGTAAGCGCGTACTGTCGGGGCGTTGACCTAAGGAACCCTAAACAAGGAACGAGGCCCTTTTCATCCATAAGTTGAACTTCGAAAACCTGAGGAAAACCTTAGGCAAGCTGTGAAACACTCAAGGAACACCGAGCCCCTCCCCAACTAGAAGGGTGCCTTATGAGGAAAATCCTGGAGGCCTCGTGCGGCGCGTAATAGTAGTATGATCTAGTCCACTTGTCAGTTCCGTAAGCTATGGGTCGACGCTCGCGCGGCGTTGCTCAGGAGTCCGTCCGACGTAAATCCGACGTAGTCCGACGTGAACCCGACGTAAATCCGACGTAGATCCGACGTAAATCGGGTCTCAAGTTGCCGCGCGAGGCCTCCAGCATGTTCTTCATAAAGGGTGCCTTCTTCGGTGCCCCGATCGCATACCATGCAGCAGTTGTTCGGGCTGGCCGTGCGGGCCCGGGCACCCGCGTGCATCCGTCGGAGGACGGCCCGTCGGAGGACGGGCCGTCCGAGGCAGCGGTGTCTTGTCTGGCCTTCTCCCGAACCAGGAGAGAGGAGGAGGAGGAGGAGGAGGAGGAGGAGGAGGAGGAGGAGGAGGAGGAGGAGGAGGAGGAGGAGGAGGAGGAGGAGGAGGAGGAGGAAGGAGGAGGAGGAGGAGAGGAGGAGGAGGAGGAGGAGGAGGAGGAGGAGGAGGAGGAGGAGGAGGAGGAGGAGGAGGAGGGAGGAGGAGGAGGAGGAGGAGGAGGAGGAGGGAGGGGGAGGGAGGAGGAGGAGGAGAGGAGGGAGGAGGAGGGGGAGGGGGATGGGGGGGGGAGGAGGGGGAGGAGGAGGGGAGGGGGGAGGGGGAGGAGGGGAGGAGGAGGAGGAGGAGGAGGAGGAGGAGGAGGAGGAGGAGGAGGAGGAGGAGGAGGAGGAGGAGGAGGAGGAGGAGGAGGAGGAGGAGGAGGGAGGAGGAGGAGGAGGCGGAGGAGGAGGAGGAGGAGGAGGAGGAGGAGGAGGGGAGGAGGAGGAGGAGTGGGGGGGGAGGAGGAGGAGGAGGAGGAGGAGGAGGAGGAGGAGGAGGAGGAGGAGGAGAGGAGGAGGAGGAGTAGGAGGAGGAGGAGGAGGAGGAGGAGGAGGAGGAGGAGGAGGAGGAGGAGGAGGAGGAGGAGGAGGAGGAGGAGGAGGAGGAGGAGGAGGAGGAGGAGGAGGGGAGGAGGTGAGGAGGAGGAGGAGGAGGAGGAGGAGGAGGGGAGGAGGAGGAGGAGGAGGAGGAGGAGGAGGAGGAGGAGGAGGAGGAGGAGGAGGAGGGGGAGGAGGAGAGAGGAGGAGGAGGAGGAGGAGGAGGAGGAGGAGGATGGAGGAGGAGGAGGGTGGGATCGAGGAAGAAGGAGAAAGGGGAGGAGGAGGGGGGAGTGGAGGAGGACAGAGGGAGGCACCGGACTCTCCCGAACCAGGAGAGGAGGAGAGAGGAGGGAGAGGAGAGGCGCAGGAGGGCGGCGGCGTCACGAGGCCGTCGACGACGAGCAGTCGGCGGGCGCCGGGCCGCCGAGGCCCGGGGGCGCCCTGCAACCGGACGGCCCTGCTGAACATCGCGAACCTCGGCTTCGAGCTCAGCCACCGCGGCTCGTGGGAGGGAGGAGGCCCGCGCCCCGCCCCCGGGAGGGCCCCTTGCGATCCTGGCGCCTCCGCGCAGGAGGGGAGCAGGCGCACAGACACAATGACTCATCGATTCCCCAGAGAAGATACTCCAGATTTCGTAATAAAAGGAGGGGGTCACAAACCTCCCAGACCAGAAGTTTTAGACCCCCCCAGACTATCCATGAAAGGGCGGCCCTTTGCCCAGACCCCCCCGAACCCTCCAAGACAGCTCAAATCAGACCCCCCCAAAAATGTGACCCCCCCACTTTATCATGGAATCTGGAGTATGGGGAGCGGGGGGGGAGACAGAGGCCCAGAAGATGTGGGGGAATATGGGGGATCTGGTTCTTGCGTCTATTTGTTTCTGTGTCCCAGTTCCCCTTCATCTTTTTTCCCAGCCAGGCAGCCGGACGTCTCCGCCCGGCTCGTCAGATTCGGGCCCCGGGACCCTCACAGATCGGTCCGGCTCGAGAGAGGGCGCAGGAAGATGGCGTCTGGGGCCCTGGGCGCTGATTTTTCACGACGGCGCAGCTGCTTCGCTGCGTCGGATCTCAGGGGAGGAGTGCTCCCGTTTCGGGCGTTTCCGACAGTTTTCGAAACGTAGCGTGGTCTCCATCAGCTGCGGCTCCTCGAGAGCGTTCTGGGGGGTCCCCGAATCGACCGAACGGCAGCTGGAGGCCCGAGTACGTTCGGCGGTATCATCTGTCCAATCGCGGCATGTTTCCTCTGTTTCGGCCTCCGGGGCTCGCTATCGGGCCTCGGGGCCGTCAGAAACGGGTTTGGGGCTGCCCCATACGAAGGAGGTCGGGATTTTGGAGGCCGCGCGTTGGAAAAAACACATCGGATATCCAGAGAAGAGGGGGGGAGAAGCGGAGGAGGGAGGAGGGGGAGGAAGGGGGGAGGGCCCGCTTGTCGCCATTCACCCCCCCATCCACGAGGGGCACGCTCGGAGGAGGTGCCAGTGGTGGGGAACAAAGCCTGGACATTGCTGCCACCATATTCCGTCATCCCACCATCTTCCTTCGTCCCTGAAGTTGTTCAACGTGCCTCTTCAGAAACATCGCAGCCGAGCGCCCAAGGATTGGTCAAGTAAGGAGAAGGAGGGGGAGGAGGAGGGAAAGAGGGAAATTGAGATTGAGAGGGATAGGAGGAGGCTGGTCGTTGGCTCCCCGTGATCGTCCTCCTTGCCGCCCTCCCTCATCCTCGTCCTCCTCGCTCCTGGGAGCGAGGAGGAGGGTCGCTCTTTTCGAGAGGAGCCCACAAGAGCTTCCTCCTGCTTACCTCCCTCCTGCGCCTCCTCCCTCCTGCCCCCTCTTGTGAGCGTTCGTTTTGCCTCCCCAGGGCAACGCTTGTTACCCGCCCACCCCCCCTCGGCAAGCGCAAACGATCTTGCTGGGGTGGGTGGGGCCTGAACCACCCCCTGCCTGCTCGGGGGCACTGTGCCGGTGGCGCGAAGGCACCCTGGCGGGTGCACGCCGCGGCCGCCGATACCGTTACCTTCCCGCCCGATCCAACCCTCTTGGCAGTGACGACCGTCACCCGGGCAAGAAACAAGAATGGCATTTCCCCTTGAAGGGAGGGGGGACGAGGATTGTTGTCTGTAAGTGTAGCCCACGGGAACTTCTGACTCCCGAGTTACCTCCTGCCTCCATCTTCCCCCCTGATCATGGTCATCCTCGTCTTCCTTCCTGCTCCTTACGCTCTTCCGAGAACGGAGGGGGAGGAATAGGAGGGCTCTGGAGGAGGAAGAGCATTGTTCGTTGCGAGAGCAGCCTCAGGGAACGTTTTCCTCCCTACCTCCTGCATCCATCCTTCTTCCTTATGAGTAACTCCTCGCTGTCGCACCACCGATGTGTCCTTACGGCGGGGCAGGCATTTCGCCCGAGACTTCCCCATCATGTGCAAGATTGGAACTTCAAATTCCCGCCAAATACACGGATGGAAGGCGGGTGGATTTCAAAATAGAGTTCTCGTTTCGGCGCCGCGCACACTCGTCTATCGAACATTTAGCAGTTACACGTCTTTGATAGAGGGCAGGCCGTTCATGGGGATCTCGCCAGGGCGCCGCGCATTCCAGACTCATTATGAGAAGTTGCAAAGATGGAGGGCGAATCGTTTTCAAAATTGGATGTTCGCCCTGGCGCTGCGCACGCTCGTCCTAAACTTGCGTAAGAGCTACGCGGATGGAGGGCTGTTCTTTCTCAGCATGGGGCTCTCGTGTGAGACCCCTTTCGCACATTGCCACCACAAGGCTTGCACCACCTGCAACAGCCACACGGATGGAGTGTGGCTCTGTTTTAACATGTGGTTGTCGGTTGATGTGTGTTTGTCCCTCATGCTTGGAAATTCAAAACGACACAATTGCTACACTCATGGGGAGCAGTCGTTTTGTTTCAAAGCGGGGTTGCTGTTGGGCAGTTTAAACGACCCCGCCGTGTCGCATGACTCGGGGCGGAGAAGACGTATCAATGTCACGCCGCCTCACGGGGGGGGGAGGCCAGGGTTCCATCGACGTGTTACTCCCTCGTTCTGCGTCCGAAAATGGGCAACGCACATCGACAGTAACACGCCGATGGGACCCTGGGGTCCCCCGCGGCGGCGTGACATTGATACTCGTTCGCCCCCCCCCCGAATTACGAACGCCTCGAATGATAGAATGAGGGGGAGGAGGGGGAGGAGGAGGAGGAGGAGGAGGAGGAGGAGGAAGAGGAGGAGGAGGAGGAGGCGGAGGAGGAGAAGGAGAAGGAGGAGGATGAGGAGGGGACACCTCAGCTTGACCAAGGCCCTCGAGAGGGGCCACCCGATCTGGGCCTGGAAGGGAAACACGGAGGCGGACAGGTTGGCGGAAAGGGGTGCCCGTTGTCACCCACACCATCCTTTGATCACGGACCGCTGTTTCCCTCCCTGAGCAGGTTCGAATGGTAGGTCAGTTGCAGGCTTCGGTTTTATGTGCTCTCTCGGAGGGGGATTTTCCAGACGTGGAGAAGGTCAAGGCTCCCAAGAGGCCTCGACCTAGCCCCCTGCAGTTGGTTTCCAATCCCAACGGCCATGATGTCCGTAGGTATGGGAAATCATATCATCGGTTTTGTTGTGCCATCTGTGGGGACAGCGGCTTCACGGACTGGACTGTGCATGGCACCGTGCAGCGGAGTTCCCAGGCTCGCGCGCTCAGCTCACAGCACCCATGTGTTGTGGATTGGCCGCGGAGGCATCGTGTGGTGCAGGCAGTGCGGAGCCTACGGTTCTATGCGGTCCAAGCATCTCATCGAAGTGTGCCACAAAGGGGCCCAGGAATAAAGGTGCTAGTCAGTCTCTGGCACATTTAAAGAAGGGGGTGGACCCCTCGACCTGCACATCGTTCGGGAAGAGTTGGCCAGCCCCGCCCAGGCAACCCTAGTCAGGTCACTGTTCCTGCCTGGCGGGTTGCTCCACCGTCCACCCCCCTTCGCCCCTCTTGCCCCTTTTCCAGCGGCTCGTGCGCCCTGCGGGAGGTGTACCTGTCCGCCAGAGGATCACAGGATCACAGGATCACAGGAGGAGGAGGAGGAGGAGGAGGGGGAGGAGCAGCAAGAGGAGGAGGAGGAGGAGGAGGAGGAGGAGGGGGAGGAGGAGGAGGAGGAGGAGGAGAGGAGGGAGGAGGGAGGAGGAGGAGGAGGAGGAGGATGAGGAGGAGGAGGAGGGGAAAGAGGAGGAGGAGGAGGAGGAGGAGGAGAGGAGGAGGAGGAGGAGGAGGAGGAGGGGGAGGGGGGGGGGAGGGGGGGGAGGGGGGGTGAGTCGGGCCCACGGGGCGCTCGTCTCTCAGGAGGCCGCTGCGCGCAGCGAAAACAAGAGAGAGAGAGAGAGAGAGAGAGAGAGAAAAAGAGAAAGAGAAAGAGAAAGAGAAAGAGAGAGCCCGTGGAGAGCAGAACGATGGGACGAGCTCGGGCGGGACGGTGCACAGTCGGCGCACGGCAACGAGGCGCGCCGCCGCGGCCGCCAGCGCTCGTCGTGTCGGCAAGCGACGAGCGAGCTCGCGAACTCAGGCGGTGGCGAAGAGGAGGCAGGAGCAAGGCCATCCGAGACTTCGAAGAACCGACTTGGCCGGGTTTTGTAGCCGTACAGCCTATCTGGTGCACGCTGCGTGGTGCAATACCTGCGGACGGGGCTAGCACGAGGGTCAGTCCGTTCCAGAGCGTTCCAGAACGCTCTCGGAACGTTCCCGAACGATCCGAGGAGGCCGCGTCGCCCGAGACATCCCCGGATCCGCCGGATCTCAGAGATTCTCGAATGACGTATCCTCACCCGAATTTGTTTTCGTCCTGGCTTCGTCTTAAATCCAGGGCTGGACCCAAAAGGTGTGTGGGCGATTTCGTGGGCCGTTGTCGTTTCGATTTCGCGCCCAGAGGCGGGCATTTGTACGTGACCACCGCCTGGAGGGCCCGTTTTCGGAGCCCTGGCAGGCGGTGGACGTGGACATCTTCGGGCTCCCGGGGGCCGAAATGCAGTCGGCCCCGATTAGTAGGTCGACCCTGCCAAATCAAGGGTACCCTCGTGTCCTGTGTCTCGCGACCCATGCCTCCCACATTCCTGTGGCAGCGTGGCCCTCGGAAGGGTCTTGTGTCCTCTCGCGCGCCCTGTCCGATCGAGTCCGACTGCACAGTGGAGGCCCATGCGAAGAAACACCCTGCCTGCCTCCAGTCAGGCGATCGCAAGCACGGATCGAGGGGGCGTGGATTAGCGACGGGTCCCGTTTCCATGGAAGTCGCGGATCTCTGCCGCCGAACGAGGCGGAACCGGCCGCGCTTTGGGGAGGGCAGCTCCCCCGATCCATGGATTCGGCGACCGCGCACCAGATCCATGGATCGCGGATCCGTGTTTGCGCGCCGCCGATCCAGGGTGCCCTGGAGTACTCGGTCTTCGATGGTTTTGCTCTGGGAAGGTCTACGCTCCCACACCGAAAATCATGGAACGTCCTGGGATCTCAGGGTTGGGCTTCTTGTGTTCTTGTGGACTGGCCTCCACTGTACTGCAGCACTGTTGATACGCATTGGATGTACCTTGGTCCTTCCTCCTCCTCCAGCTTGTCTCGGCGGCGCGCGAGGGGGGAAGTGAGAAGGAGAAGGCCTTCTAAGAAGGCGGCGGGTCTTCTCAGAAGCCCTCGCGCCTTCTGAGAAGTTCCTCGTGCCGTCGAGGAAAATTTAGAAAACTCCCCAGAAGGCCCGAGGACCTCCGAACCTCCTGAGAGGGCCCGCCCCTTCTCGCTTCCCCATCCTCGCGCGCCGCCTGCTGCCGCTTACCCCCTCTCTGGGGCGGAGGGGAGGGCGGATCGCTCTCCGCGGGCGGGTCCCCGACGGGAGCTTCCTCCTCCTGGCCTTCTCCCTCCCTCCCTCCCCTCGCTGCGCCTCCTCCCTCCCGCCCCCCTCCCCTGGGACCTGGCCCCCGCGTGCGGGCCTCGCCCGGAGGAGGAGGAGGAGGAGGAGGAGGAGGAGGAGGAGGAGGCGGAGGCGGAGGCGGAGGCGGAGGCGGAGGCGGAGGAGGAGGAGGAGGGGGAGGAGAGGGGGAGGAGGAGGCGGAGGCGGAGGAGGATGAGGAGGAGGAGGCGGAGGGGAAGGAGAGGGGGAGGAGGGGGAGGGGGATGGGGGAGGAGGGGGAGGAGGAGGGGGAGGAGGAGAGGGAGGAGGAGGAGGAGGAGGAGGAGGAGGAGGAGGAGGAGGAGGAGGAGGAGGAGGCGGAGGAGGAGGAGGAAGAGGAGGAGGGGGAGGAGGAGGAGGAGGAGGAGGGGGAGGAGGAGGAGAAGGAGGAGGAGGACAACGACGACGACGACAACGACTCCCCTCAGCGAGCGGAGCCTGCAGGAACCCGATACGACGGCGTCACCCTGAGCGGCTGTTCCTTGATCTGCCACGGCAACGAGGCGCGCCGCCGCGGCCGCCAGCGCTCGTCGTGTCGGCAAGCGACGAGCGAGCTCGCGAGCTCAGGCGGTGGCGAAGAGGAGGCAGGAGCAAAGCCATCCGAGGCTTCGAAGAACCGACTTGGCCGGGTTTTGTAGCCGTACAGCCTATCTGGTGCACGCTGCGTGGTGCAATACCTGCGGACGGGGCCAGAACGAGGGTCAGTCCGTTCCAGAGCGTTCCAGAACGCTCTCGGAACGTTCCCGAACGCTCTGAGGAGGCCGCGTCGCCCGAGACATCCCCGGATCCGCCGGATCTCAGAGATTCTCGAATAACGTATCCTCACCCGATTTTGTTTTCGTCCTGGCTTCGTCTTAAATCCAGGGCTGGACCTAAAAGGTGTGTGGGCGATTTCGTGGGCCGTGACCAGAGGCGGGAATTTGTACGTGACCACTGCCTGGAGGGCCCGTTTTCGGAGCCCCAGCAGGCAGTGGACGTGGACATCTTCGGGCTCCCGGGGGCCGAAATACAGTCGGCCCGGATTAGTAGGTCGACCCTGCCAAATCAAGGGTACCCTCGTGTCCTGTGTCTCGCGACCCATGCCTCCCACATTCCTGTGGCAGCGTGGCCCTCGGAAGGGTCTTGTGTCCTCTCGCGCGCCCTGTCCGATCGAGTCCGACTGCACTAGGGCTCCCGGTGGCCGAAATATATCCACGTCCGCCGCCCGCCTGGGCACCAGGACGTCGGTTTCCAGGCGGGGAGGGGCTGGAGCGGGGGCGGCTGGGACCGCCGCTGGTACCGCAGCCGCGGCCTCGGGCCGCTCGGCTGTCGCCGCCGTCGCCAGACGCTCGTGCAGAAGCTTGCCGGACGAGCCCAGGTCACTGGCGGCTTGACCCAGCTGCTCCACCAGGGCAAACGTACAGTCGGGGCCCTGAAGAAGGAACGTCAGAGCTTGAGCGTGCGTAAAACGTAAGGTTTCAGGGAGTAAGTGCCTGGTGAGGGGGAAGGGTCTCTCTTGCCTCTGTCCCTTTCCCCCTCTCCGCGGCCCCTTTGGGGCTCAAGTTCCTTCTCGGGCCCTTGAAGGGGCGATCCGCGCGGGGGAGCGCGGCCTGCCCTGCGGACCAGTGTCCGCACAGGGGCCGAGAGCCATGGGGAGGTGAGGTGCAAGGAGCGAGGCTGCGCCAGCCCAGTGCTTGCAGGCGCTGGCCGGTGAGCAGCTCAGCCGTGTGTACATGATGGCGTTGCTGCCGATGCTCATCGGGGCTGTGGCAGCCGTCGAGATTGGCCGCAAATGGCGGGCGCAGCCGGCGACGCCGGCTTTGCCGCAGGCGGCCCACGCCGCGGACAGGGCGCTGCCCGCGGAGGCCGTGACGGCCAACGGTGGGGCGTACGCGCCTCTGCTGCGGGCGCTGGAAGAGGACCAGCGGCGCCGCGGCACGGCGGCGGCCACAGAGGCGCCGCAACGCCATGCCCCCCCGCCCGCCGGGCCCACGCCCAACGCCGGGAAGGGGCGAGGGGCGCCCACGGGGCCAGCAGTGACCCCCCCTCTTGGCGGCAAGGGGCGCCAGCCGCCCTCGGCGACGTCAGCCGCAGCCCGGCCCCCTTCTGAGGCTTCACCGACGTCCGCAGGTGGAGGGGATGAGGAGAGCTCACGGCGGCGAGGGAGCGGGATGTGGAACTGGTTCGCGAGCCGCCGGCGGGGCCCCCCGCCACGGCGGGGCACGGAGGAGGCTAGCGGCCCGGAAGCAGGAGAGGAGGAGATGCGAGGCTGGTTCAGCTTCGGGGGAGTCAAGTTCGGAGTGAGCTGGCTCGGAGGTTGGATCGCGGACTTGCCACCGACGGAGATACAGTGGTCAGATCTGATGTGGGGCGGTGGTGGCTTGGTCGGGAGTGGGCTCAACACGGTGGGCTACGCTGCATTCGGCACAGGTTGGCCCTTACTTATTGTGCTGGACCACATTTGCGGGACTGATCGTGGCGCTCATCATCGGTTTGGGATACGGACTACACTCCATCGCCTCGGCAGTCGACGTGTTGGTCTGTGCGCCACTCCGCTGCCTGGGACGGGCGGTAGGACTGTGCTGTCCGACCTCGAAGCCACAAGTCACGGCCGCCGAGGAAGGAGTGGTGCCAGAGCTGAGGGGGCCAGCCACCGCCATTGCCGTGGAGAACGAGTTCTACGCCCAGCTCCGCGCAAAAGGGGCCGACAAGGTGCCGCATCATCTGATCATCAAGGTGGGCGACACAGCTGCGAGGCTGGAGAGGCCGCCTTTGAATACTGGGATTAAGTATAAGAAGGCAGGAGTGGCATGGCCGTACCGCGAAGTGCTCGCTACTACTTTACGGCGACTGCGCGACCTGCTGGAGGATTCCCAGGACAAGGTGGTGCACCTGTGCAGAGACACGCCCTGCACGGACGAGGGCAACTACGCGGTGCATGCCCCGGCGTACGGGCACGTGACGGCTGAGACGGACACCAACTTGGAGGCGCTGGTGGAGGCGGCGCCGAAGCCTTGTTGGGCCGGGCGGGCCGTGGGGGCAGCGGCTGCATCGCGTGGGCGAGGCTGTGCCGCTTTGGGGTTGAAGGGGTGTGCCAGGCTCTGCGGGCCCCTCAAGCGCTGCGGCCAGAGGGGCTGCCAGCGCGGCAGGCGAAGCAGAGCAGACGCCCCAGCCGCTCTGCTGAAGGACCCGAACTCGGAGACGGAGTCGGAGCCGGAGCACCAACGCTGCATGGCCCACGAGGTGCTGTACCAGGAGGGCGACACGATCTTCCAGCTGTGCAAGGAGAAGTGTCGAGATCGAGCCCGAGGTGCCCCAGTCTGCCTGGTCACGGAGGATGGCGAGAAGTCGAATGTCAAAGGGGCGGAGAAGGTGGGCAACTTGCGCTGGCAGCACACGAACGCCTACGAGCGAGAGAGAGAGAGAGAGAGAGAGAGAGAGAGAGAGAGAGAGAGAGAGAGAGAGAGAGAGAGGAGTGAAGAAGTGCGCGCACCTCGGCTGCCATGCGTTGGGTCGGGTTCTGAACCGCGGGGTGCTGACGTGTTTGGAGCGCGATTTGGCAAATGAGGAGACCGCGCGACTTGTCGCCGTCGCCGAGAGACCGGCGCCTGTGGTGGCCGGAATGGCATCCGAGCAGCCCACACTGTACCGGTCGAGATCGCCTACGCCGACGGCTGGGAGGGCCATCCTACCCTTGGTGTCGGCAAGTGGGGCGTGGCTAACGGCCATGGTGCGGGGCCCACGGGGTACGGAGATGGCGAAGAAGTACTACTGCTACGGGTGCCAGCTGGCGGCCGAGGAGGATGGTTGGACTACGTATCATATCCCAGGGCTCGAGGCCCAGGCTACTGCCCCGTCCAACCTGGGGCCGGCGATCGACGACCGGGTGCGCGCCGAGGCTGCCACCGCTGGAGCGCCCGCCATCATCGCGCGGACGGTGAACCAGATACCCGACGGGATGGACGAGCACGGCCAGACAGCTTGCCCGGCGGCCCATTCGCTGGCGCGGGGCGCGACGGGGAGGGAGGACCACCCCCTGTGCATCCTGACGCGGGGGATCGAGGAGGCAGGAGGGCGAGACGAAGGACACGCTCGGAGAGACCCGCCCCCGACTTCCCCGACGTACCCAATGCCGCCACCGTGGAGAGACACGATAACTCGAGGAGAGCTGGGGGGCCTACTGAATGGGGCGGCTCGGGGGCGCTGGCGCCGTCGAGGGGGGGCGGCCTTGGCACTGGAGCTCCTGGAGGCAAGGGCCAGCGGAGAGGATCATCCGTTGGACGTGGCCGAGAGGTATCAGCACTCCGAAGGTTTTGATGATCTGGGAGAGGCGTGCGACGCGATCGTTGAGTCACTCGAAGCCTTGGAGAGGGCCGCGGCTCCTTCATGTCGGACGATGAGGTGGAGAACCTGCGGCAGCTAGCTGAGGTGCTGAGGGAGAGGCGCGGCCTGAGCCAGGCGCGCGAGGAGGAGGCGGCGGGGGGAGCATGGCGGGAGGGGCCGGCACGGCCAGTCCCTGGCCCAGCACGGCCGCCCACACCTCCCATGGCTCGCCCAGCGGTGGTGGAGACGCCGCCCGGCTTGGGAAGGACGCTCGAGCCGGGCCGGCCAGCCAGGGAGGAGAGGGGGTCAGCTCGAGGTTGGGAGCCCAAGCGGCGGGCAACCGACTTGGGCGGTCAAGGCGTCGACTTGCGGGGCAGCACCGCACGAGTCGAGCTGGGCCGAGGCCCGCCGACAGGTCGGCCAGGACATGACCCCACACCGCCCCCCATGGACCTGTTCGAACATCGGGCTGGCCCGACCTTTGGGGTCCCTGCGAGGAGATCACGAGTGAGTTTCGGCGAGGAAGATTACGGCCCCTCCGAGAAGGTTCGGAGGTCAGCGGGGGCACTCGGCGACCCTGACGACAAGGACAGCGAGGGAATGGTTAAGGTCATGGCGGATATCGCGTACAACCTCGACCTAACGAACAAGCGGGCGGAAGATGCAGCGGCGGGGAAGATGGGCACCCTCCAGTCGATCACGAAGGACCACGAGCTGCTTGTTCTGGCGGCGCGTGGGTGCGGGAGGTTCCGGGTGGCCATCTGCCCGGACGACTTGGGCCGGGCGCTCGTCACGGCACTCCTGCGCATGGCGGAGCATTCCTCGGCGTTGTTCAAGCACCACCGCTGGCCCACCCTGATCAACTACCGGATCGCCTTCGGCATCGCGCCGGGGTCATGGGGAGGCAAGTCGGTCGAGACGCTGGCCGCTCACGCGCTCAGTGTGGCCGACTGGGTGACTTGCCCAGAGGAGCTGTTCGACGACTACGTACCCACGACGGAGTACAAGATCGAGCCGCGTCCGAAGCAGCCCGTGGATATGCTGAAGTGGGCACGGCAGGCTCGCAACGGCATATGGGCGGTATGTCTGGCGTATGGAGCCGAGCACTGGGACGAGAGGAGCGAGGCCCTGGACTACCTCATCCGACAGCACGAGGCGAAGCCGCGGAAGTACACCGCACTTTTCATCCAGGATGCCTGGGAG